CCGAAATTGAGAGAGAAAAAAACGTAAATTGGATAGCTTTAATATAATTTCTGCCAATTTGCATAGTTGTTTGATTAACACGCAAAAAAGGGGGTAGATGTATGGGATTTAATGCTCGCGGGAGAACTGGGGTGGAAATAAATCTAGTAGCAATAAATTTTACTTTTCTGCGTATTGAAGGTAACGTTTTGCCCATTAGTTATAATTAATGTTAATTTCCTAATTAATTACCATTATCTTCAATTATCACCTTCCCTCTGCTTACAGTTCCGAATCGTTTTCTCAGAGAATATTTACCGACCCGTTATTCATCTTGATTATTTACGTAACCCGAACACAATGCGGCACTGCAGTTCTGTGCTTTATTGGACGTATATAGGAAACGAGAGCCGCATCGACTTCTGTCGCAAAATCGAACAAAAACGTTCTATATAAAAATTACAAATTGCAAGCTTAATGGCGTGTAATTTAATTAAATTGGCCGTAAGAATAAAAACGAGGACACTTCAAGTGAAAAATGGAATGTAACTTTTCAATTTCAAATGTGGCACTGACGATCACTCAGCCGTAAAAAATTGCAGAAAGCTTGCTAAAGAAACACGATGAAAAGTGTTTGATGTTTCTTTGACTCTTTAAGGCAAAGAAAACTATCGGGATACTTTCGCTTATAAATGAATTTTTCATAAAAGTATACGTATAAATTTTCATTCGATACATATTAAAGGCACTTGCCATGTCGAACTGACATTACGAATCGCCTAAAGAGTTACGTAATTTGAATATTACGCAACCGCTTGTGAAATAGGTATTTAAGCAACTAGAATTTTGTTAAGAGGGGATGATTTCCTAAAAGCTAATGGCTATTTTGATCGTAATGCGTCCGTTCATTCTGAAAATGTGTTCGATCCTTGACGTTTTCTTAACCCTTTTGAGCTGACACTCTCACACAAATTTTCCGTGCTCAACCGATCTTCTCTACTTCCAAAAAATTTGTGTGCTGTTTCTGTTTTGTACATTTTAAATTAAAGGTTTAAATCTTAAATCTTCGATATTAGTCTATTGTAAGGGTTGCTTCACAATCTAATGCGCCCTTTACAACCTTTAACATGTTAACATAATTAAATAATAAATTTCATGGTCCATTGTTATACATTTTGACCATTTTTGAACTTCTTTCGAACTAAATTTTATGATGTAACTTCGTTGACCTCTATTTCAATTTTTAAACAATTTTGCAACTTTAAACTTCACGTTCATTGTAACGTTAGCCTGATGATGGCATTGTTTTTTGCCGAAACTAGTAGCGTTGTACGCTGTAAACACCTTTAATTTAAATTGTACAACAATTAGATATTTTCATGGGGAATGATTGTGTTTTGGATTGCATTAACGTTTAACCCCATTTTGTGAATAAACTCAATATCAATATGGACCTCAACAATTATCCTTAACACCTTTCTTCCTATTGGAGATATAAAAAAATATTCAACATTTTGTCACTACAAATGGAGACCAATGGGAACGAGCTTCCCCTCTCCTCCCCCACTTAAGAATTTGCAGTAGTGCACTCATGCACTGGTTTGAATTCAAATCAAAATTCAATGATCTTTACAAAATGTACCGTGTGTCCTGTTTTGATTGAGACTGCAGTGTAGGTCGGTTATTTTTAAAGATAGAGGATTGCGGTTTTCGTGACCCTGTGGCACTTTTTTGTGAAACTTTCAGTACCCCAAACCGAATCAATCTATCTACGTTTGTTTCAGAGATACAGGTTGAAAACTAAATGTTTTGGGATGTTATCATATCTTAATACCCCCATGTAAGATCGGAAAAAGATAAAAACTACCTGTTTTAGATACTTTTCGTAGAATGCATTGGCGCAGTCAAAAAAAATTTTGGACCACCGTTTCCGAGATTCATATTTTTCAAAATTTCGAAATGGCATGCTTCTACCGATTTTTATTGAGTGGTGTTAGTTACTATGGATACAATAAACAAAACAAAATATCCATGTGTCGGTTACTATTTAAAAACCGTAAAAAATGAGGCCCTTATTTTTGATTAATGGGTAAAATTTAAGAAAAGATGTATATCTTAAATATAACAAAGTTGATGTTAACACATCCAGGGTGTTGTATTTAAATGAGTCAAATCTCAGAAACGTGGTCCAGAAATGTGTTTGGCTACGCCACTGAATTCTACGTAAAAATATCTAAAAGAAGCGGTTTTAGCTTTCCAAAAAGTCAAATGTTTCGTTTTCACCCTGTACCTCGAAAACAAACGTACCTAGATTAATGGTGTAAAGCACGTGCAAATGCCACTTAAAATTTTGATATGGGGATACTTTTAGCTGGAAAAGGTGTTGACAATTTTTGATATCTTTAATAATAAAGGAAGGTCTAAGTCTTTAAATTGCCACATTGGACCATTTTTAAGTCACTTATTTGTAGTGTGCCCAATTGGTAAGAAGACGTACAATAAACACTTTTTACCCAACCATCCAGCAACGTTACTTTTTCTGTTTGTGAGAGTATCGTAATCTACTACAGATTTAAAAATATTTAGCTCATGTAATTTTATCATTTGTCACCTAACCCACGAAAATTCATCCAAGCATTTTCTCGCTGTTTTGAGAAGCTTCTTTCAGTTTACAAAGCCTGTTCAAAAAATACGTAGACTGACGTCATACAACAAATTTTACTTTTTTTCTGCTTCATGTATAGGACCCCTTCAAAGTACTCCCCTTTCCGCCGCACACAGTCTACGCATTTTTTGAACAGGTCTCTTTTTTTGAAACCGGATGGTGACTTTAACAACACACCATAGGACTTTCAATAGTAATTTTTTCATTTCTAATTATTGGCTTCCTTTAAGAGTTGCTATTGTAATTCATTCAATTTCGTTAAGATGTAGGGACATCTGGTCGTTTGCGATAAGAAGTTTGGTTATCGGATGAGATTTAATTAGAGTGCGTGATTTTATCGCTGTTAGAAAAATAAAGTTGATGCAGATGTCACTGTGTGCGCATTAGTTCGACGTAAGTTGGGGGACGCGCGACGCGAAGCAGACGTTCATAAAGTCTAATTATGATTGGGGGTGTTTTTGAAAGGTCTTGAGAAAGGATCGTAGAAGTTGCGTTTCTTTAAATACTGGAATCAAAAATAAAAATTCTCGCTGGCTCGCGACGGTTAGAACGCGTGAACATTTCTTTGCGCTATTTTTTTTATCAGACTGTCTGCCCGATTTGATTAATTGAAGATGTAGTTTGTCATTATTATTATAATTTTGTCCAGAATCAACTAACTAAAGTTGTGTAAGAAATCTGTTTTATGGAAAAAGTCTGCCAAGTTGAAAAAGCAAGCAGTTGGGGCCTAAGGTTCTCTTGTTATTAAAGTTAAACCAGCCACCGTCAATTCGTCATTTTGTTGATCAAGTTGATGTTGTTTGTCAATTAATTAATTGTGCGTTTATTCGAATCCTTTGTGCGACCCGGATAAAGTTTTCATGCCAGGTTTTTCTTCTCGTGTCCAAGAATTGTGTTAGGTGTGTAGATAATTCTCTGGAAGACTACTAAGTCTCCAAAATCCTTAGTTTAAGTCAATATTGGAATTTTCCTTTGTAGCAGATGCCGAAAGTGTACGAGAAGAAATTATAAAAATTCAATTTCAATTTTGATTTGTTTGAGGTAGTTGGACAGGTGTTTTGTAGGCGGTGTAGTTGACCGCATACGCATCAAGCGTAATAATAATATATTTAATGTCCAACAGAAAAAACAATTTCCAATTACAGGACAACAAATTAATATGTATAGAGTACACAATAATATAAACAACTGAAAAGAAAATCTAAACTTATGAGAAAAATACAGTGTGAACAGTAGGCAAAACGCATTGAAAAACAAGAAATAAAAATAATTAAATTAAGAGATATATCAAAACATGAAATGCATCTAAAGGGTAAACAAAATTAAGTAACTAACACTAATATAACTAAACATTTCGAGTAATGTGGAATGAATCGTAATCCATCCCATCCCTATTTTACCAACTGTGCCTTTAAGGCAACTTTGAGACAAAACCTAATAGAATCGGCCAATGTGTTACCTTACCTTAACTACGCCAAGGATTATACAAACAAGTAGTGTTCGGGCAACAAACTGCACCCTCGGAATGAAAACACACACTAGTCCCTTGGTATATAATATGCTATTATTACACGGTCTGTACTTTTTTTGCATATTTATGGCTGAATCATCCATCATTGCTAACTTCAGGTTAAATGTACAAATCCATTGCTAAAAGCTATCGTTTTCTTCGTGCGGGCAAGATGGCACTTTTTCATTTTAACGTTTCAATCCCTGATTCTACCCCCTTTTGCACACTGCTAGGAAATCAGCAAAAATGCAATATATTTGGTTATGGTTCTTCTTCTTCTTTTTGAGGAAGAAAATAAAATATATAAATAGAAGGTTACAGCAGCCTGGCACAAATCTAGTATAATCTGGCCCATCTTTTTGGGTAATGCATAGGTGGACATTTGGACAAGTCTCCATGCAGTGTCGCGCATGACTGTTTCAGGCACTTGTCACAAATAGGCAGAGTAATTAAAGTCACCCTTCTCCGTTTAACAACCGTAAATTTTTCAAAATGTCATATTTTCGATGTGCTAAACTGATATCGAGGAAGCTAAACTTCCTTATTCGCCAAAAAGTTTGTGGCAGAAGTAACTTCTTTATGACTAAAGTTAGAATGTAGGTTAAAGTTGGCCAACATTCGTTTATGACCAACGTAATTTTCACGAGACCTCGAACGATTCTGTCGGCAATTACGAAAACTACGGTCCGTTTGACAGATACTACGGGCAACGGAAATTATGGGATGAGCACGAATCACGTGACAGCGAGGTATACGAATCAGTGCTTGCTATGAATAGGAAAAGTAAGTTTTCATAAGGGAAAAGGTAGAGAACGTGCGTGCATTATTTAAAAGGCATTTACATACATTATACGCGTCCTTAATATTGATGAGGGTCTTTGTTTGGGCAACCGTTCCCGCGATGCCAACCCCAAACGGAATGCGGTACTCTTCGGAACGGAGTTGGTTGATGGCTTCCTCGTAGGTGGTGTCATGCCGCACGTCGAAAAGTTTCGCGTCAAGGTACCGATCGTTTGTTGGGCCTTTAGCCAAAAATAAGGATCCGCGATCGGCGTTGGTGAGTAAGCAAACGTTAACAAAGATTTTATGGCACAAGACGTCAATGTCAAGCTCATTGGCAACATCACGGATGAGTTCCATAAAAATCTCGCTATCGTCCAGGGAATCAAGGTTGCGCCTTGGACGGACATGTTGGGGCTGGTGATCGCTCTTCGCCGGTGAAGCGGCCAACCAAAGTTGGAAAAGATCCGACGTTATCGAGGTTCTTCTTGTAGACGATACGTTTGGTGTTACCGCCTGCTGGACGCGCTGTAAGAGCTCAGCGGAGGCATGCTCTCGAAGCCATGTTTCCAATAAATCCTGATTTTCTTCCAACCAGGACCCCGCCGATTCTAATTCGTCCACGGCGGTCGGTGGTGGCGTCATTGCACCACATGTCCTTAGCCACCGAAAGACGCGTGGTCACGAGGATGGTTTCCACGTGAACTACACGAGACACCGTTTCATACCGACTAGCACATGCACAGCCCGGACAGAGATGCGTGCTTGTATTGATCTTCTATACGAGTTGCGCATCCTGGTGCACGACGCTTGGGGTAACAACCCTCATTACGTAATTCCTTGTTAACTTCCCAACACTTCGCCTCGTAGAGTTCTTGTTCAAAATGCAAATTAATTTACACATGCAACTTAAACGAACCCCAAATTAGAAATCCATAAAAAATAACCATCGCGACGCTTTATTGTCTGCTTTATAGCTTTATTTCCATACGGATATTTACATAATGCAATTAGCTACCTAAGACATGCACACATATTAAAATTAATTACTGTACCTAGAAAACAAATTGCTTTTGGCGTTTTTAATCTAAGGCCTGGTTAATGTGCAATTTGTGACTGCGCCGAACATCGTCGTATAATAAAACGTGCAAACAGCCGCGTTATTTTCGAAGCTCATTTCGCCTATCTTAAATTCGGGATTGACGGCCACCTTCAGGGTGTAAACGCCAGGTTCGATGTCGGTGACGTCCACCCATTGACAGTCGACGTTATGCTTATAGATGTCGGAGCAGTTGACTGATATCCCTTGGTCTCCGTAGTTCGCACAGGCATAACGCTTCTCGACGCCCGGAAGACATTGGTTGTCCTCCAAGCAGAAGGAAGCTTTATGCCCTTCGGCCACCTTAACACCATTCCAATCGTAAACGTCGAACGTGGCGAACACCTCCATGCTGTGATAGTGCCTGAAATCAGAACATAATTCGCTTATTATTCACGTCATGTGCCGAGACTATTTCAAAACTGCATTTGTTAGGGCGAATAAAGCGAGGCGTTTTCCGTTGTAAAACATTTTTTTCAATTTCATTTTATTTGCCATTTTACTCGCCTTCTGAAACAACGACCGGTCATCAAATACGCTTGCGAATAAAGCCGAGCAAAGATAACCAAAATATTTTTCAATTTGCGCGTTTATTTTCCCAAACAAAAATCTATAGCTACCTACGGGGAAACTAATTTCGCAGCGATCGAGCTTTTTTACTCTTCATTTGCCATACAATTAGCTTCGCATTTTTTTTACAAATAATAATCGTTTGCAGAGATTTCCGCTTCTGGGCGAGTACGGGAAAATTTATTTATTTTCCACTGTTGGCCAATTAGGGCGCCCCATTTAGATTAAAAATTAGCACTTAAAACTGAAAAAGCGTGATTATATTTTCATTTACTCTTGAGATGCAATTAACACCGTGCGCATTTTTGTAATTTGAACACATTTGGCGATTATGATGAGATTTTAAATAAGCGCCGTTTTCCGGTGCTTCTCTCTCTTGCAACCCCGTAATTTCGGGTCATCCCAAACTAATTATACAGTATATTTTACCAAACTAATTAACTTCCACTTTAAAATTAATGATATCCTAAACCATATAATTAGCTTTTCGCTTCGAATATCGCAACTGAAATTTTTGAGCCAGTAGACAAATAAGTAAAAAACAATTGATGCGTTAATCTTAATAATGACATTTAAAATTGAAACATACCCGTATCTAGATTGCTATGTGTCAAACTTCATTATTGCTTATGACAATTTTGCAATTTTGATTGTACTTTTAGAAAAAATGTGTAAAACTGGAGAAGAAAAAAACTCCACTTTCTTCTCTAGTTTTACAATTTCCAAGCTTGGGGATTTCTTTTCTGCGTCGTTTAGTTCCTGTAGAGCATTGTTTTAATGATGGATTTCAGAGGTCTGGATACTAGTATTCAGTTATATTAATTAAGGTACCTTTAGTGCGACAAAGATTTGGATAATTAGGCATTTGAAGAGTGGGTGTTTTCTGTAACTGGTTGAAATTGACCATTTTACTGTGTAAGGGAATCGGAGATCATTCCAATACCAGAAATCTCCAATTCATCAGATCACCAAATCTCTGTCGCATTAAAGTCGCATTTGACATGAGGTCAGTGACGCAGTGTAGCATTGTGGAAACGATTAAAAACGCCCGTTATGTATGGAATAGCGCTAAATTTGGAATGTATACAACATTTTTCTATATGAAAGTTGTTTAACATTTTATTTCCCATAATAAGGCAGCATTGAATTGTTTTTATTTCAGAAAACAAATGAGTAACGAAAAACAATTGAATGGCAGTGCACCTTTTCATTAGGCTCATTTGACAGTGATTTTTTTCTATTTTGGATGATACAACCCTTATTCAAAAAAAATGTTTTGGCTCGGTCTCGGCTCAGAATGAGCAAAAAACCATTTTCCTTTCCATTTTCCCTTGGATTAATAAAAAAATGTTACAACCAAAATCGTGGTCTTTTGAAAATATAACGATTCATATCGTTCACCCTGTACTTTCTGGGGAGCAGCGCGCGTGTTCGAAAGCTAGAAATAGCTCGCACAATCCAACAAACTTTCGGTTTGGATCTATGACAAATTTAATCCATAAATGTGGAAGATATGAAAAATACGTAAAAAGTAGAGCAGTTAATTTATATTAGCGATGTGTTGGTCAACTTCCGATAAAATTGGTACCTTTTTCACTGATCAAAATGCTTACTTTAGTCCTGATTTTAAGGGACGAAAACAGCTGCCATTTTAGTCCCAAAAAAATGTTGGTGATTTTTTATTTATAAGTGACACAAGCTTCTAGATTATTATTTTGTTTTTCAACTCGAAAAATCACAGAGAACTACCAAAACTAAACTCAAAAAAAGTGAACGCAAACAAAAAGACAACATGATCTTGTAATGATCGAAACCCCAGGAAATCTGTAAGAAACCTGTAGTATCAAATGGAGAAAATCGAGAGCAGGATTTGGTTTACTATTTCCACTGTACTTATGTCATTCTTTTCATATTTATGCAGTCGATTTTCAATGCAAACAATCAAGCTAATAGACCTGATCAAAACATGTAAAATCCATATCGATGATAATTAAGTTGTTATGCACACAATTCAATCGATGTACTAGTAATAGCCGCTTTGCTTGCTTAAAGTAGCCTTCAACCCTTTAGCTGTACGAAATGATTTTTTACAAATGAGGACTTTTGGAAACCATTCATTAAAATCGACTATGGTTTGCCTGCAAATTGACGTATTTGTTTTGCATAAATGAACACATGAATACGATTTGTCATTTTAATGACTACATTTCAGCATATAAATAGCAAAATTGGTTCGATCAAAAACTTCAATTAATTTCCTGAAACGAACAGATTGTTACGTTTATTTTTATCGAGTACAATTTCCTGAAACAAACAGTTTGTTAATGTTAATTTTTAACGAGCTAATTTCATTCATTTTCATTCGATATATAAGGTAGATTACCTACCTGTCTGCTAGAGAAGGTTTTACGTACCTATATCATGAAACTACAGTCAAAAAGGCACATACAGTAGGAATGTTAAAGGATATAATTATGGATTATGACTACAAAACTAGGTATATCCACGTTCAGAAGTTTTTCAAAAACTGCCCTTACCGTCGCCGTTTTTCTTATGTAAAACTATAATTTCGTCTGCTACCTAATTAATGCTAGTCTTTCTTGTAAAATATAAAGCATTTTAATTTTGAACCACAAGCGCAAATCGTCAGATTGATATCGAAACTCCACGAATTCTCTAAGAAATCTATAACTTATTTCATATCTCATAGAGAAGGTGGAGAGCCGGATTTGCTTTGTTATTTCCACTTTTGAGATAAGATTATGTACATTCATTCTTTCCATATTTACAGTCGATTTTCAACGCAAACAATGACAATGGACCTGATCAAATTTAGTCGGTAAACAGTAAAAAATCCACCGATTCAATTTAGGTGCTTTGCTTGCTAAAGTAGCCATCCACCGTTCGGCTTGAATACACGCTGTACGAAATAATTTTTTTTACAAATGAGTAGGTACGTTTAAAGACCATTCATTAAAACGACTGTGGATTACGTAATCGGTTTCTCTGCAAATGGATGGATATGCTTTGCACAAATGAACACATTATACTTATACGATTTGTCATTTTAAGTTAACGGACCCGAATAAGAGGGTTGAATTAAAATAGAAATCTTTATTGTGGGATAGCTATTTCTTATAAATTTTGGAAATTACCACGGATAGCCCTTAATCTAAACGCCTTATTGAAAAACTTCACCTTTTTCTCCTTGTTTACTGTAAATATGGTTTTTCGATTTTTTAAATATTTAAATTGCTCGCCAAATTAAACACAAAATTTCCGTAAAATTTCAAATATATTAATGACAATAATTTATGATGTCATGGTTCCAAATTACATTTCCCTTTACAGATTTTCCCGTTTACAACTAACGCGCGGCTATGGGGTTTTTATTTTGTGTGAACTAAACTCAAATTACAATAAAAAGCGCAATGTTTTACTCTCTGAGGAACATATAACAAACTGTGATGTCGAGCATGACACAAACGACAATTTTGGTTCGAAGTGCAATTTGTTACTCTATAATTAAGATCCCTTTAGTGCGACACTAAAGGTACCTTAATTAATATAACTGAATATGATTCAAATCTACGATATATAGTTTCTAGACTAGCGGAATCCATGATTCAAACAATGCTCTACAGAAACTAACCGACGCCGACGCAGGAAAGACGAGTTTCATTTCCACAATTTTTAGTTTAATTGTATATCATGCCGGCATACACGCCAGGATTAAGAATAATCTATTTTCAAGATTGGAAAAAAATCAGCATCACAAAATTGCCACGTTTATAACTGATATACGAGTATGTTTAATGCCTAAGGTGAAATTCTGAATTTGGACTTAGATGGATACCATTTCAAAAGTCTGTAGGGGAAATTCTAAATTTGGTCTGATAAATCTGTACTGAATTTAGAGACAGAAGGAGTCATAACACATAAGAAGAAATCCACTTATACCCTCTTGAGCTTTTGTGATCCCTCCGTTTTAAACCCTCAAATGCGTGCGAAATCGGGCCCTTAAAATACACGTTCTTTAAACATTGCTAAGTAATGTTACTTCAAAGCTGACATCTGGCACTGAAAAAATATTTTCTCAGGTCGATTTCTGCAAATGCAAAAGATTTCTTTAGCTTGTACCTATCCTTTGTTTGAAGCTTTCTCAAAAGCGTGTAAATTAGGGTATGCTGCCAAATCTGTTCCATGTCTTAATCGCAGCTTTGATTGAAGCCATAATATAACACATATTATTATACTATGTTGAAGCTTTGAATGAGTGCAAAAGGATAGAAGATTTAAATATCTTTGACATTACCTTCACCTATGCCAGCATTATCGATGCATTTAAGACTTATATAGACTCCTATAAAGTTTCCTTCTGATTTTGCAACAATTCATTGAATGGACCTTTTACGACCACAATCATTTTATTTACAAAGACGGTGATCTTTATAACCAAACGTCAAGTGACATTTCCATAGCGCTTATGGAATTACCGAGGGAATTACAAATAAACAGGCCACTTAATTAGACATGTATTCGAGTATAACGTCAATATTCATTTTATTTCTTTTTTTTAAATTATATTGCAGGTATAATAAAAAGAAATACTATAAGAAACACGTGTATAATTGATCTTTAAAACACGCGTGCTTTAAAGACTTGATTATACACTTGTCTCTTATAATACTATTTTTAATCGAAAATTTAAAAGCTTGACAAGGCAGCATACATTTTTCTCTAGTCTTGCGTAATTCTGAAAGACTGAATCTCTACATTCAATATTTCCCCGAGGCTAATTCTTAGCTACTTTCTGAATCCTGCAATCTGTAATTTAAATATTTAAATGCTTTATATTATTTTACAAAAAAGGACTAGCACAACTGTCTCGTTAAAAATTAACCTAACGAACTGTTTGTTTCAGGAAATTAATTGAAGTATTTGTTCAAATAATTTTTTTTATTATTTATACGCTCAAATGTGAACAGTCAAATCGAGACTACATAACGCATTCATTTATGCAAATCAAAACCGTCATTTTGCGAGCAAACCGATTACGTGATTGATTTATCCCTTTTATTAAATTGATTCTAAACGTTGAAATGAAAACTCTTTCCGCAATTAGAAAAGTTCTTCATATACAGGGTAATTTGCGTTTCGATTGAATCTCGTAATTATTTTAATGTTTTACACAACTAGGATGACGGTACATACTTTCAGCAATGTACTGAGTGGGCTGTTGCTTGGGTGAAAGATTGTGGGTTTATTAACCAACATACCTACTTAAAATTTATATTCTAGCTTGGGGTAAATCTTGTATAATTTGAATTTTAAAATGTTTAACAGCCTACTAATACCTGAGAGGCTTTTAAAATTGAAGAACACTGTGAATTGTTGAATTACAAAAAATATACACTGCGGCTAACCCGAATCTAAATATGCAATAATATACAGGCGGTTCTGTTTCAAAAATGCAACTGTGATATAAATCATCCTGTAGGTATAACAATTTCATCATATCTCACTGCCCGTTTAAGATGGAATGTAAAAACTCCTATTTCAAATATATTTACATAGAATCCATTGGCTTAGTAAAAAACTTTGGACCACCGTTTTTGAGATTTGGCTCCAAGTTCCTACAGCTTGTAAATCTTAACGTCAAATTTTTGCTTTGTTTCCATTGATTGATGTATGTACCTATCACAGCTTATTTTTTTTTATGTTAGCCATGAACCAAAAATAAAAACCTTATTTTTTACGGTTTTTAAATAGTAGACCATGGATTCATGGAAAGTTTGTTTTGTTTATCTTACCCATGGTAACTACGACCAATAAATAAAGATCACTGACGGTAGAAGCTTTCAAAATTTTGAAAAATATAGTATCTATTATAATCATATAAAAAAAAGTATAAGTTGTCTTGCATCAATATAATTAGAAGAAATAATGCAAAAAATTAATGTTAAGATATACAGTGCGTTGAATTTAAAAAATACCAAAAAATTGATTGACGGATTCTACGTAAAAATATCTAAAATACTCAGTTTACAATTTAAGAAATGAGAGAGTTGCTAACACAACTGCACAAAAATGTTTGGAAGCGGGTATTGCGGACGACTTTTTAGCCATCCTCGAAAAGAAATGTCTGCAGTAATATAAGAGACAAATACCAAACTTTATTTAATCAAAAATTACAAGAGAATATATTCCTTCCACATTCTTACATTGAATGTTTCTCAGCATTCTTTTAAAAATTCGCAATCAATAAAAAAAGCTCCTACTACTGTCTTCGCGTTACAAAAATTCCGTCTCCACTCGAAATAATAATAACAATGGGGCAAACTTATTTCGCGATTTAATAAAGTTCCATCTGCTCCTTTATGAAATTCTGTTGTAAATGGCGGGGATATAAATTATAAATAAACGATAACGCTCGAAAACTTTTGTTTTCCTAATAAAAAGTTTTGGGGGATGATAGATTAGATATTTTTAGAGGTGGCTAAATGCATGTTTTTTTCTCCAAAAATAAACTGTAAAAGCGTCATTAACGAAGAACTTTTGCACTTAAACGAAACTGTTTTTTGTTTCTAAATATAGCGTTATTGAAGTATTGATTGGTTGACTTACATGTGGCACATGTGCCATTCCCACATGCTTTTCGGAAGGTATGGTCTGAAATCGGCGGTTCCAATGTTTAAAATCGTTGCGGTGAACCGCAACAGTCGCCTGGTTTCCAGGTGCCAATCCGACGATTCCTTCTGAATTTTGTAGGCGTGCGAGGCCAAACAGTTTTCTTCCATGGCGCACTGTAGGAAGAACATTTGGGTGTCCTGCAAATGGGCCGTCCGCATCAGCTCACCGGCGTCCACCGCCAAATCGGACATCGTGCTGACGCAGTAGACGGCCGCCACCTCTTGTCCGACACAAATGCCCTTATTGCCGATGTCGTGCTGACACTGGCGCAACGAGTCCTCGCTTCCGGTGCAGGTCACCCCCGAAAAGCTGGCGGCGGTCAAATTGCCGCCGAAGTAATTGGTTTGCATGGCGTCGCTGGCGTAACCCAACGAAAGTGATCGGCACACCACGTTCGCCTCGAGTAGTGACCAACCGTCGCCGCATATTATCTCCCAGTTGCCCCTTTTTGTCTTTAGCTCCACTCGACCTTCGCTAGGAACTCTGCCACCTCTTAGACGAACCCGCACATATCTTGGCAATCGCACCCTGAAAAAAACTTGTAAGTCAAAGCGATACTTTTTTTTTACTATTTTATGTAGGTACATTAAGGGGCCTCTAACGCCTAAGGATGTCGTTATGCAGCGGTTATCGTTCGGCAACGACTTTCTCTAATAACATATAACAGTGATTCGGAATATCGCTGTCGTTCATGATCAAATGGTTACCGATGTTTTAGGTTGTTGTCTCAACATGTCCAGAAAATAAATTTTAAATATCTTCCACCCTGTGTATTCCGCTGGAATTTTGAATCCTAGGAATTCCATTGGGTTTTCTAATAGAAAATGTAACCTATACTGCAACCGCGCCTAAGGGAAGGGACATCTTTTGCAATTTTTATAACGCATTTTCTTTCACGTTGCGTTCCATCCATTACTCTTTTACAATGCGCTTGGATCGTTACGAAGTGACCCTCTCGTGTAATATTTCGGTTCGATAGGTGACAATGAAATGTACAAAATAAATTTTTTACGCCTTTACATGGAAAAGTAAGGGGACTACGACTGGGAAATGAAACATATACCACTAACGAATAAGAACTGAAAATGGTTTCTATATATATTCTACCCTTATTTATTATATATGTTCTCCGTTCGAAGTGCTTTTACACCCAAACTTACGTGTTTCCCATTCTTCAATAATAGAGATAAAGAATTTATGTGTGGACCTTTGGAAAACAACATTCGTTATATTCGTATTATGGTTAGATGGCTTTTTCTTTGCTATCTACAGCAAAATATCGTTTGTCAGTTGCCAATTGGTATTCTGATTGAATGTCAATTTTTGGTGATAGGGCACTATTAATTAATTGAGTTCATAGCCACTACTTCAAATTTATATTAATTAAATATTGCTCAAAAATTATGGTTATCAGCGCTCATTAAAACAATATCTCGCAATTCCTGCTAACATTTCCATAAATAGTGTAAACATCGAATTCAATTCCAATGCAGGAATATTTTGTTTTCTTATATTAATTATTAGAAACTTGTTTTAATGCAAAAGCTCAAGGAACGTGTAAATAAAAATTCAGTTCTACAGTTCAATCAAACTAGAAAAAGTATAAGAGCATTTTTTTATTACTGAGCTAGCCATGGGTAAATTAAAAATGAATTTTCATATTACAATTTTTGCCAGTGTGGTAGGGGTTGAATTTTACTGTATGCAAGTGAGCGTTTTAACGCAAAATCTTAAAGAAATTGTCTTGCAAGCTCAGAAAGATTAACCCTAAAAAATTCAGTTGAGCTATTCTAAAGAAAATCGAGCTTTCAGGTGACTAAATCATCAATGCTCTCAATTTCCCAATTTTCCCAAATTAATTACTTAAAAACTTGTGATAACCCAAAAGCTAAATAATTGTCCAAAATAAAAAGGTGGCTTCAATTGCAATCCAACAATATTTTGTTTTCCTAAATTAATTATTTAAAAACTTGTGATAACAAAAAACTATAAGAAATTGTCTTGCAAATTGAAATCAGAAAGAATGATCTTGACAAAAATTGAGTTGCGTTATTCTAACGAAAATCAAGCTTTCTGATGACCACATCATGTAAACTACTAATTTTTGTTCACATTTCCATAATTAATCTAAACATTAAACTCAATTAAAATTCAATAAAGCTGGTTCTCCTAAATTGAGGAGACCAGAAAGGAGACCCTTAAAAAAGTTTTTTTTTTAAATCAAACATTGAACAAATCATCATAGCTCCTAATTTCTGCTCACATTCCCATAAATAATCTAAAGATTAAATTCAGTTAGAATGCAATAAACCTTTTCCATAAATTGAGTAATTAAATTCTGCCGTAAACGCAAAAGCTCTAAAAAATTGTCTTACAATATGAAGCCAGACAGGGGTCCGGGATCCTTTATAGTATATTAAGCAACAAAGGATTAAAAAGAGTTTTTGTTCTTGAGAGAATGGTTTAAAGCCCGAGGCTTGCCGAGGGCTTTAATATTCTTAAGGGAACAAAAACTAATTTAATCCAGTGTTGCTTATACTATTATACCAAAAGCTATAAATAGATAAACAGAAATTGCTCCTTAAATAACGCTTGTGACATCTCTTGGTCATAAAGCTTTGGTAATAGAAAATGAATCAAATTTTTCTCGTGGTCGTCGAGGCAAAGCATTTGGTTCCCACCTGTTACTATCAAGCAATCGGAAAGATTTTTGTTGGTTCAGATATTAAAGGCTATCGAACGTAAAATTAACGCAGTAGATATGTTGAAATTGATAATTTAGGGGTGGTTAGGGCACGGACGAATAGAGGACATAGAACGTGAGTGCACATTTGGACACAACTTTAAATTGAAACTTTTTCGACGCGTAGGGTACGAATAAGAAAATTACTCCTATATTCGATCATAGATTAGAAAAAAAAACATGTAAGCTTAAAGAAATTGTGGGTCTACACTTTTAGCTCTATTTTTTTATGTGGAATGGTCCTTATTTTGTTTCTCAAATTACTGATTAAGTTGTGGTTCCACAGATGAAAATAAATAACGTAATTTCATTTCATAAACGCGAAAGCTCAAAGAAATTTATTTCGCAGGCTTAAATAAAAAACTAGCCCTGAAAAAATTTGAGTTATATCAAAATCATGGTTTTACATTTCCAAATCATCAATTTTTCTCACACTTCCATAAATAACCAAAAGACTAAATTCAACTCCAATGCAATAAGCCTTGTTTTCCTAAATTGTGTATATTTTAAATTCTCCTGTAAATGCAAAAGCTCTAAAAAATTGTCTGGCAATCTCAAACTAAAAAGGGGACCCTTAAAATAGTTGAGTTGTGCTATTTTAAAGAAAGTCAAGCTTTCACATGACCAATTCATCACAGCTCCTAATTTCTACTCACATTTTCAAACCTCGAATTCGATTCAAATGCAACAATGCATATCTAAATGAATTATTTAAAGATTGGTCGTAACGCAAAAACTCTAAGAATTTGTCTTGTTTTGCCAACGAACGGTTTCGAATTTTCCAATTCTGTTTTCAGTGGTCAAGGGACCAACTGATTAAGTGTTGGTCATTTGGACTTGTCCCTCGTTGTCTATAATATTGGTTTGAAACCATTGATTAAAGAGCGACAAAAAGCGAATTCATGATTGAACTTTCTGTCCGTCAGTCCGTCCGTCCGTCTGTGTGCATGATAATGAATGGTTTCGAATGTTATAATGCTCTTTTCAGTAGTCGAGGCACTAACTGATTAAATTTTAGTCAATACGTCAACTAATTCGTTAGATTGGGTCTCCCAATGATAAAAGAGCTAATCAGGTGATATCTGTTATATTATTGCAATATACGCCCTTCCAGTTCCAAATAAAATTTAGCGGTAAAGTTTTCCACGGTTTTTCGAACTGTGAAAATAGCTAGCTTTTTTCGCATTGTTAATGGTGGTTCGCACCCCACATTTTTAGGTTCGCCATACAAGTCTTTTTGCTTCCAATGGTTCCAAATCTGCTAAATCGGACTGCAGTACGTGATTCAAATCGTTTGCATCGTCAGAAATAAATAAGAATCGCTAAAGATAGGTTTCATTATTCTATATACAAAATAAGTATACGGAGTCGGGAAAAAAAGTTATCGGACCTAATCCTATTTATTTAGTGAAACACTCTGTATATTTTAATCTAAAAGGATAGCATACACCACACAGTGTGCCTGTGTAATATTGGTTTTCTATGCAATTTTTACTATTACTTTGAACCACAGTAGGCCATGAAAGAATCGTAATTCCGTTCAAAGTTTCTATAAGTTTTTAATTCACTTTCTTGTTGCAACTATTTCTTCTACTCTTTGTCTGTTAAAATATATTGTGTAATGTCTTTAAAACTGCAATGTCACCATAGTTACGTTTCTAGATTAGCTTTTGTTTCATAGCCTACTGTGGTTTAAAGTACCTAATAAATTTTTGGATTAATTATATACGGGGTGTTACATTAAAAAAATTCGATTAGGTCCTTTATATAATAATCTGACATTGCGAATTACACTAATTATTTATTCTATACTATACTCTGTACTAATTATACATTATGCAGTAACAAAAAAGCTAAACATGAAACATAATTCCGATTTTCCGTGCTTTTTTGGATATACCGCAACAATAACAGCTTACCATCTTAAATTGCTACTGCCCAGCACATTGCACTTAGCTGTCACATTGTGACGACAAAAGTGTGCGTTCAAAAAAATTGGGATAACTTTCAAAAGGCTATGGTATGCTCTGGTGAACTTATTACGGCGCAAACGTAGCACTAGACAATTCACCTAGTCCCGAAATTTCTGCCGCCTATGTTCTGCTAACTTCAAGGGCCCCTCGAATTCAATTCGAATGCAACAATATCCATTTTTCCTGGCTCATACTTATTTTAAAGCTTCTCATTAATAGCATAAAAGCTCTAAGAAATTGCCTTTAAAACTCAATTCAGAAAGATTGTATTGTTTGAAGAAGATCAAGCAAATCCCATTTCTTTAACATTGCATCCACCACCACCATATTTTTAGTGCATTTTTGCAAATTTATTTGTAAAAAGGTAGCTTTTTTTAATTATACCTACATCAGAATCTCTGTTTAACCCTTAGGATACTGGCTCATTTTTTGTTTCGTAGGTTACCAAGAGGGGTCTTCTAGAGACCCCATCAATTTTTTCTACTTTGAGGTACAAAAATGAGTTCTATGTAATAATTTTAATTAGTCGATGTGTTAGAATACAAACAATTACGATTTTTAAGTATTTTTAACAAGTATGAAAAAAATAACTATACTAAGTTCGTGTTATCAACAAGTGTACTCTATAAAGTCAAACGAAGTTTATTAGATCTAAAAATTTTACCACCCACACGTTAGTATGGGAGGTACAGAAGTCATTTTATTTACAAAGATGGTGATTTTTATAAGCAAACGTCCACTTGAATTAGAAATGTATTCGAGTATAACGTCAATATGATTCCATTTTATTTCCCTTATTTTTAAATTATATTGCAGGTATAATAAAAAATACTACAAAAAACGCGTGTATAATTGGTCTTGAAAGCACTTGCAACGTTCACGTACTTGTTTCTTAATCTACTATTCTCAAATTACATAATTGAATAAGTTGTGATTGCGCAGATGAAAATAAACAACGTAATTTCATTTTCATTTAAACGTTAGCAATTGCGGTATATTACACTGCAAAGATCCCCATTTAAATAATAGACACTAAAAATAAATTAGATATTAAAATCAATCAATCACGTTACGTCAGTCCATATGCGAAATACAGCAATTACATCACTTGCTTCAGTATTATGCAAAACAAATTTCCGTTGGCTTATAATGCTGATGTAAACTATCGAAACCTTTAGCCTCTATCCATTTGTTTTATAAAGGTTACGCGGTTTAATAATGTGCGACAGACGTGCTGGTTCAGATTTTCCAGTACCTAGATTTTCCCTGTTTTCGAGCTTGCAATGGAGCTTTGTTACATGTTATTTTGCGGTGCAATTTGCATGAGGTAACCACAAAACGATAATTCGTGGTTATATACGTCTGCTGTGGACTCTTCTGCGTTTATTGCGAGGGGATGATACATCAAATGTCTTTGTTGAAATAATATTGCAGCAAATCTTCATATATACCTATGAGTACTTTTTAAAGCCCGATGAAAGTTTTAGCTAGAGCTTTTGAAGCTTTTGATTTCCGAAACAGGAAAGAATAATTTATTACATTGGTAAATGAAACTACCCTAACCAAACAAACATTTCGTTTGTGTTTCGGGAAACACTTAGCAAGGTAGGTTAGGTATACATTTGATTACGATTACTGGTCATAAAATTTCATTGGAAAACGTGCTACATTAATAATTTTATGTTCCTCCAATAAAGTGTGTTAGTTCAATGTTAATTGAAACTACGGCTACTCGCGTGTTTCCATTACTGGTGGTAATTACTAATTATACATTAAAGGCTTTCAAATCGCGTAACTCGTTTATTGAATGAATGAATTAAATATTTTACCTTTTCAAAATCTTATCCTGAAATGAAGTAACGTTTCAATGAACATAATTGGTGGAGACTGAGACATGGTTTGTTTGGTCATGATGAACGGTGGTGATCTAAGGACAATTAATGTCGATACCTCCAAAAAAACTGAATTTTTAGATCACGTAACTAACACACAATAAATTGTCTCGAAGTGAAACTTTAAGGAGGGGGTAGTGTAACAAGCATAAACTGGTACGTTCGTAAGATGGTACATTGTCATTTTATTGCATATTTCCTACTTCCAGACAAGAACGAGATGCATTCCATACGTTCGCAAAGTAATATTTTTCCATATTTAATATGAATCTCTTAGAGATAATCTGAGTAAGAAGAAATTTTAATAAATTAACGCTAGATTTTCCGCTTATAAAATTAAAATGCAAAACTGTCAGTTGAAAAGATAATCGCTATAACGTACTCAAATATAAATAACGTAGGATCTGGGTTAAATTAAATGAAAAATATGCGCCTTTGTTCATTTTAGTTGCGTTTTTAATTAAACTTTTAGCTACTCACATTACGTTATCTCTCATTTGGGGTTTCTCCACTTCAGTTTTATTTAATTCCTGAAAACATATCACCCCGGCCGCCTCGTTAACTTCGCAATCGTGCGAGCCCCAACCGTCGAATCTGCAAGAAGTAATCTCATCCTCAGATCCATCACAATAAACGTTATCCATCCAATACTGACCTAAATCACAAAATTTACGTCTGTGGTTTAAGTCGCACGCAATTTATTTACGTCTAGCAGGTCCAAAATGGGAATTATGGGTCGGTTTCCCAACACCTTCCGAGTAACCCAGTTGCCTGCAGATGACATCCGCTTCGGCCGCATCCCACTCGTCGTCGCATATCGCACCCCATTTTCCATTGTGCAAAATCTCCACGTTACCTAATTCCGAAACCATTAAACTGTGCAAATTTCAAAGCGAAAATTACCTTCGTACTCCTCTCGACCACCGACAAGCTTAATCGCGCCTTCTTCCTTTTTCAGCCTTTTCACGTGTTTCCTCACCAACTCCACTTCCTTGCTGCTAACGGAATCGGCACGAAAACTCGGAAAGACCAATACGGTCAGGCACGCAACTACTGTAATAATCTCGCTCTTCATCTTAATCAATGTGGAACTAATCTACGACATTTTAAAATGAACACACATGTAGTCCTAATTAATTTCTTCTAATTACCGCCACTTCTTGACCCCTACTGATAGTCGCGCTGAACTTACACTTGAAAATGTATGATTGATTATAAATGATGCTTCCTGTCACCGAGAGCGAACCGTTTCGATATCTTCCACTCAAAAAAACATATTTTTACACGTAATTACCAAAGATGGAATCATACGCTTATATTACTTAATACTGGACAGCTGTTCTCACTTAGCCAATGTTTATTTCATTAAAATAGGTGCTGTCATAATTTCCTTATCGTCAATCATATTTATATCTCGCGCTGATGCAGTTTGCTTCGTTATGGTAATCTCATTATGTCAACTTATGATCCCGGTCACGTAGATACTTACTCGTATTAAAGGTGTTGCAATGAGCACCATACCTCCAACGATCTTTACTGCTCATTATCGGTCCACGTCCAACACGCGCCTTTTTTTTTGGGATCAGTACTTTGATAAAGCTTGATTGATGGAAACCCCAAAGATTAATCGCAGTTTCTCATTTTTTCTGAAACGCACCATCAAATACAGCTGGGCCGGTACGTCATGGGCATTACGTCAACTTGCGCTCTAATTGTTTAAAAGTTCCTCGGGTCTGGTTATGTAGTAAAAGGTTTGGTCAAAACAGTAATCAGCACATCTGGAAGCATGTGGCGTAAGTACGAAGACGTTGGTTATTTATTTAGCAGCACGTGTTCGTCTAGGAACGTGCCATGAACACGTCTTCCTTAAGTGCAAAATGTGTACAACTCTTCCCCCAATGTCTAAATATATTGATGGTTTGATTTTGAAGCTGATACTATAATTAAATAAATTGTTTCTGTGGTGCTGTAGACTATAGACAAACTCCAAAAAAAGAAAACGATGACTTACCTATGGTACCGGGCAGAAGGGACTATTTTTATCAAGGAATACATCAAAACTAGGACGTTCATAAATGCGTTCTCTATGAAAATCGACTAAAGTTGGTTTAGTGGAACTATAGATCATTTATTTTATTAGTGTTTTTTAAGGGTAAATTACATGTAGATTTAGTATCAATCAGAATAGTCAAACAATTCTATGCTATTAAGCCCTAAAATCATCTCGATCATCCCATGTTTCATCACGTTCTCTAAGTAAGGCGAAAATTAGATCCTTCAATGTTTGAATGGAATAGAACGTTGTATATCTTCGTCTCGTTTATTTTTTTAACTGCAATTTCTACACCTTAGCCAAAAAAAATTAAATTGCATCCGTTTATTATCCGCATATTGATGATGAGTGCTTAAAGATCTATAGTAGTTTAATTTAAAGATGTATTACCCCAAAAGCACAAACATATTTCGGTGTACAGTTTCAAAGTACTACAAAAAATAAAAATAAAAATAACTGCATTTTAAATTAAGATTAGGTACAAGTAGAGCTGATAAATGGTAGTTTATATATACAGGGTGATTCCTATAGTACCTGCCACCGTTTGGGAGCGTATAGGGGGTGCCTAGGGGAGTATTTTGATATAGGACACTTGGGGTCGGAAATCTAAAATAAGGCCGCCAGAACCAAATTTATCTTCTGGAATTTCACGCCTGTATGTAGGCAACCCAACCGACCGACGTTTCGCGCGGAGCGATGCAGAGCGAGTTAGCGCGAGGAAGCGACATGGGAGGGAAGGAGGAAAAACGACAGTCAAAAGCAATAACGTTTACAAGTGTTCAACGTGGCCACCGTTGTTCTCAATGCACTTCCTACATCTAGCCAACTATTATTATACTATTGCCATAGTGTTTATTCACTTGATACGCGTCGTTGCAGGCGGGATTTCGTGGGTTTAAACAAAATTCTGATCAAGTGTCAGCCACACATCGCCGCCTGAGATCGCTCCGTGTGCACCGCCGGCCGGTTGGGTTGCCTACCTACAGGCGCGAAATTCCAGAAGGTAAATTTGGCTCTGGCACCCTTAATTTAGATTTCCGACCCCAAGTGTCCTATATCAAAATACTCCCCTACGCACCACCTACACGCTCCCAAACGGTGGCAGGTACTATAGGAATCACCCTGTATATTAACCCAAAATGCCAAAAACTATAACAAAAATAATCATTTTAAAATTATAAAAAACAATAATCCAATAACTCAAATAAAATGTACAGATCCTCTACGAAAAATACAAATACACAAGTACAATTTTTAATCCCTAAACAAGGACAAAGAAAAATAAAATAATATAAACCTTAGGGAATAACTTAGATTAGGTAAAGTTAGGTTAGTTTTCATCCTTTTCTGTTAAATAGTTCTGTGCCTCTTTTTTGAACTTTATTAGTGGGAATCGAAAAACATCCAAATTTGGAATTGCGTGTATAAATTATGCATAATAATCAATACATCGGTTGTTATTAAAATGTATAATCTCTTGTTAAAAAAAGCTCACTGCTTTTAAAGCTCACATCACGACTTGTACTTATTTTCACAGATTTATTTAAAGAGCTCTAATGACAACATTTTGGGGGAGAATGTAGCACCGGGGGATCTGGGGGTATCGCATACCCCCCAGTAAAGGAAGTTTCTTTACGACTGTCAGGGTAGTTTTCGGAATAAGGTAATTGATTCCATACCCTCCCACACCTTTTTCCAAAATATGAAACTATCACTATGTTTATATTACTTTGTAGGGAGTGTCATCAAATTATTCTTTTGAATCCGACGCAAAAAATGAATGAACCTTTTTTGTAATAAGCTATCAAGGTACATCTTTTTTACTTGTGCAAATTACAAGAAATTATAAAATAAATAGTTTAACTTTTCACTTTAGAATTTCTCAAAAACTAAGAAACGCACAAAAAAACTGTAATTGACTTTTTTTTGTAGAGTTTTGTATGCCACATTTTACAGTGTGTGCAAAAATAATTACAAAAAATTTGTTTGTTATGGTTCTTTTAAACTGTATGCATGTGGTTCGTTTCTTGGGAACACGATAACTCAAAAACGCCTAAAACAATTTTGATGAAATTTGAAATATTTATAGGATTGCATAGGGAATCGCAAACGACACATTTTGGTTTCGGTCCGTTACCATCTTCACGGTTTTTGAGGATGTTAAAAGCTTAAAAGAGCCATAACGGCTTAAAAAAATGTTTGTAATTTATTTCGCATACACTGGCTAATGTGGCACAAGAAACTCTACAAAGAAGTCCATAACAAATTTTTTGTGAGATTCTTAGTTTTTGAGAAATTTTAAATTGAACAGTTAAACTATGCATTTTATAATTTTTCAAAATTTGCACTTCTCTCAGAAACTCATAGCGAAAAATGTTAAATATAAAAAAGATGTGCCTTGATGAACTGTACAAAAAGGTATCATCGATTTTTTGCGTAAGTTTCAAATTCAGAGGTAAATATATTCGGAAGATCGGCAGTTTGATTAAAATTTGACATATTTGACTGCCTCTCCCAACCTTAAGCCACAGGATCTCGCTGACTTTCTCTACTTCACTATGTATCAGGAGGATACTGTACACAAAAAATCAGCCATGTAGCGATAAATCACTTTTTTCCGTAACCAGCCCTTAGACTATAAAGGGGGGCATTGCAAAGGGAGATTTTTTACCACTGTCATGGTAGTTTTCGGAAAAATGGGTCCTCCATACCCCCCAGACCCCCCGGTGATACATTTCTTTCCAAAATGTTTAGAACAATTACTTTGTAGGCAGAGCTGGGCAGTATTCGATTTTGTAAATACTTTTTAGTATTCAAATCCTTTAAAGTATTCAAATACTTTGTAATTAAATACTTTTATGGAAGCAGTATTTGTATTTGGAACTCAAATACTTTCACAAATATTTAGTATTCGAATACTTCGCATAGTATTTGAATACTTTTTTACCAAAAATCGACTGCACCAAAATTTCTCCGGAAAACACTTTTTCTTATTAATTTTGGTGCGTAGAATCCAAAACAATTCGTACTTTTTCGATCAGACTTCTCAATCAAAAGTTATAGACTAGAAACCATTTTCGAAAGAAAATTCAAAGGGCTGTAACTTTTGAACTAGTAGCCCAATCTTGGAACTGTTTGAAATTATGGATTCTACAGGCCACATTCTATAAGAAAATTTTTTTCCGGGTCGATCCGAGACAATTTTTTTTTCGGGGCTCAAAAAAAGGCAGTGTATAACCTTCCTTTTTTACCAAAAATCGACTGCACCAAAATTTCTCGGGAAAACACTTTTTCTTATTAATTTTAGTGCGTAGAATCCAAAACAATTCGTACTTTTTCGATTAGACTTCTCAATCAAAAGTTATAGACCAATTTCGTAAGAAAGTTCAAAGGGCTGTAACTTTTGAACTAGTAGCCCAATCTTGGAACTGTTTGAAATTATGGATTCTACAGGCCAAATTCTATAAGAAAATGTTTTTTTCCCGGTCGATCTCAGACAATTTTTTTTCCGGCCTCAAAAAACGGCAGTACTTAGTTATTCAAATATTTGAGAACTTTTAACTTTTGAAAGTATTCGGATACATTCTAAAGTATTTGAATACTTATTTTTTAAAGTATTTGAATACTTTTCAATGTATCTATTCGCTTGTGCTGGACGTAAAAGTATATAGTATTCAAATACATTTGACTTGTGTAAAGTATTTACTATTTAGTATTCAAATACTTTTTGAAAGTATTCTGCCCAGCTCTGTATTGTAGAATGTCTTTGAGTTATTCTTTTCTGACGAGAGCTCTAAGGGCTGAACATTTTGGGGAGGAATTTAGCACCGGGTGGCCTGGAGGGGTATTCCAAAGGGAGATTTTTTTAACACTGTCGTGGTACTTTTCGGAGAAATGGAACTTCCATTCCTCCCAGACCCCCGGTGATACATTTCTTTCGAAAAGGTTTAGAACTATTACCATGTTTATGATTACTTTGTAGGGAGTGGCATCAAATCATTTTGTGGAAGAATGTAGTGCCAGGGGATATTCCGATCCCCCAGCGAATGGTGATTTTTTACAACTGTCACGGTAATTGTCGAAAAAATGTAGTTAATTCCTTCAGTATTAACTTTTAAACTTGAACTCAGCACTCCATATTTATCTTGAAACTTTTAAATTTAATCTTTAATTCGGACTTTACGCGTGTATTTTGAAATATTTTTTATGTTCGTATTCTATATGGGCAAATTTTCAGTTTAAAGAGAGGAAATTTTATAGAGATCTTACCTTGAATGGAAATTCATAAGAGGAAAACCCAAATCCCATTATACTAATTTGAGTAAGTACCTAAACTCAATCAGAAGGCAGGTCTATTATTTCGTTAAATTGAAACTCTGATCTTCTACCTACCCGCTACGCATGTTTAAGTTGAACAAGAAATTGTTATTCACCCCTTTTGAGTTTAAAATTCTGTTCTTAATTTTAAACCGAAACCTTACTCTTCTAAATCGAAATTCAGAATTATAATGTTAGCTTTTAAGTTTCAATTTATAGCTTGAGTTTCATGCAAGCTTATATAACGTCAATTTCATAAACTTAACTGCTACAACCTTTATTTCATAATTCAAATGTTACAATTTCAAAGTCTCATTAATTACTTTAAAGATCAAACTTTTGAGCTGAAGGTAGAAATTATAACTTAGCGAATCTATTGGGATTGAATTGGGGTAAAATTTGGATTAAGACTTGAACTATTTGTTCCAACTTCATTTATAGATAATAGATAGATATCTTGGAAAATTACCCTGAAATGCGCCAAAATTAAGTGTTGATGATAGGCAGCCCACAATACATTAAGTCTTTTGCATTTCAGAATTTAATGTTTCTCTTTGTTCCTTGGGTGTATGTTGATTTGCCTATGAAAAGCTCATTGCAAATGCTTTCCACCAGAAGCAGCTTGTATATGATATTGTGATAACATAATATAGATTAGTCCATCCTTGGTGGCTCGGAAATTAGCTGTAGCCCAAAAAAAGCATTGTACTATTCACAATTGAACTCATTGTTAATAGTGAAGTGCGACAGAAGTTATACTACCAAACGTTTTATTGCAAAATAATTGTACAAAATTAAGAACACAATTTAGCTAACCACATTTCAATATCTTCTATATTTTTACTGTCTGATGAAATGCTCGCCTCTACAAACTGCACATTGCAAGGCAATTGGGAAAACCCAAAGTCGGTACCTTTCTTGCCAAGGTACTTTGTCTTCTGCCCTTTTGGATCTACCGACTCCAGCTGACTACCCTTGGTCAAACGTACAGCATTTCTGTAATTAAGCACCAAGTAGATTAAGCAACAACACCATTTACTTACAGTTCCTTTTCCAACATACTCTTGATAATGGTCGACGTTTTTGACAAGTCTAAATCTTGCTTGTTGCAAATAATTAGCACAGACGAAATGCTGGACGTGATACATTCAGATAAGATGTTGTACAAGTACTCGGCCGTATCCCTTATATCTTTCTGGACAGTTGCCGAATCCAGCATGTATATAACGCCAAGCGCTGCGGATTTGTATTGATCAAAAAAGCGGTCACGCAAACGTTCATGTCCCGGGATATCAATTACACGTACAGATCCCTACGGTAACACTTGCAAAGTCTGTTATTCATTCGCAAGACATTGACATACGCTTTTCACGATATATTCGCCGACATTCTCCTTCATGGAGGTCTGCGTGTTAACGTATTTGCCGTGGACGAGCTGCGAAAACGTCAGTGTTTTACCGCTGTCGCAGAGACCGGTTAGAAGGACTCCGCGCTTGTAGCTTCTCCGACGGAAATAGAATACGAAAAGTACTAAAACCGGAGAACTACAAAGCTGTTAAGGACGAATGGAAACTTACGGCAGGTTATTGCGAAGACTATTAAGATTGTGAGCATCGATCTCATGTACGCATAAACGGGCGAATCTGGCCTGTCCATTGCTTGTGAAGTGGAGGAAAGACGTGGAAACGGGAAACAGATTGCTCAAAGGACACCCTCTTTTGTGATCAACATAACCTCAAAAAGTTTTGTCAGCATTCAGTAATGGTGTAGTTGCAGTTTTCATACCAAAGGGAGTATTATTATACATGGCGGCGTGGTTGTTACATTCAGTTCATTTATTATACATGGAAACCCCCCTGCTTTCTTTAATTGTTTATTCGTTGAGCAACCGGCCCTATCGCAACAATACACGTACTCCTTTCAACAGTTGAATTCACGAAAGGTCCCTGCGTCAATAGTTTGTGAACCAATTTCAAACGAGTTCTTTATTCTCTGCTACATATCAACACATGAGCGAAAATGAGATGGTAACAATTTGGAGTAGTTGGAGATTGGTTCACAAACCAGTGGCACAGGGGTCATCTTTCGTGAATTTAACTGTGTTGAACAATTTCTTAAAAAATCGCTTTTCATGTTTTCATGAGCATATAGGGACAATAGTCCCAGATAAATTTAGGGATTAGGTAGGAATAGTTTAACTATTCCATAATAAATCTGTTTGTTAATTTAGCGGTTCTAGTTAAATGTTTAATTTTCATGTAAGTAATACATACAACTTTCACTCATCTTTCCCTAAAGTATAAAAATTACAATGGCAAACAGCCCTTCTGGACTCGCAATATTATTCTAGAGGAATGTTAAAATTGCCATCATTGCAGTGTTAAGATTCGTGCTCTTCAAAGGTAATTCTTTGGGAGATGGACACTTGATAAGTTTGAGTATTTAAAGATCTTTTGGAATTCCTCGAAACTGTTTGGGTTTCTAAGGATCTCCATACATTCTAAAGAGACTTCATTAGTCTCTCATAAAATTTTTATACCCTGTTAATTTTCAAGAACCTTTCAGAAATATCAAGGTCTTTAAATCCATTCTGATCTGTTGATCCTTTGGGGTTACAATTATTACAGTAGCATATTTTGTTTGTTTATTTCTGATAATTTAAAACAAGTATATAAATTTATGTAAACAAAATAAAATAATAGTCAATTTAAACTACAATGTTTGGACGGGTACCACATCTGGAATGTGTACATGCTGCTTTAGTTCTTTACTCCTAGTCAGCTTACTACACATTCGCAACAAGGACAGAACAAAACTGTTGATGAAACCTAAAACGAACCTGTTAATAATTTTTTTTAAAATAGAATGGTGCGACCTACTCGAACAAATATAAATTCCTGCAATTATGGAACAGAGTCTGGCAAGAAACATTCCAAAGTTATCCCTCTCCTGTCGCACGGTAACTTTTAAAGCCGACACATCGTATTTAAAAAATATTCCCGGCATTCCATGACTACCCTTACCATGGTCAATGGGTCGACTCAACTCTTTCACGCTGTACTGATAAGTTTCAACCGTAGATAAATATGTGTTGACACTTGTGGGCACTATGTCAATAAAATACTGGTAGAGCACCGAACCTACAAATAACTTCATTTAATACCACCCAGTCAAAGAGACGTCCCTACTCGAATTTGCAACTTGTTCATCTCCTTCCAATGGATGTATAATACCGGGGCTGGGATCGCCGAAACTCAATTTATTTATCCTATGTGTGAAATTGTAATCCGAATCGGACATAAATGCACTTATGTGAATGTGACCACGTGGTAAATTCAAACTTTTACCCGCAGTTATATGAAAATTTCCCGCTACTTTATTGAGAATCAACGATCCGTAAATCCTGCACGCATCATGTGGCTTTAAGGGTTTATTATTTCTCGCCGGCATATTAGTAAATATACTCGTATGACTACTGCGCCACAAAAATTCCTGTAACCAATAATTTCATTTACTACCAAAACTAAGCAAGGCCAAACCTGGACGGAGTGATACTCCTCCCTTAAGTATGTATTAAAGTGCTGGCGATTTTCAAAATACTTCTGTTGATTTGGGGCCAGCTCATACCAAGTGTCCTCCTCTTCTAATGAGCCGAATTTGAAAGTATTTTGGTTGGTGGAATCCAGAATGTCAGCGCCCAAATCTGCAACAACCCACTTAGGGAAAAAGAATTTGTCTTTTAAACGTACTTGAGCAAGGCATTGCAACTGTAATGTCTACATTTAATTTTAATTTGGCGTCGAAGTCAATGTCTGGTGAAAATTTAAACACAAACTTGCTATTCAGATAGTAATTAATCTCGGAGTAGGCCAACCAGAAAATCAGTGCGAAACTAACGATTGATACTGCAAATAAACATGTAGATTAATAATACAGCGGAAATTCTTTACGTGTGCCGCCGAAGGATGTTTGTTCTTTACATTTCTCATCGACCTTTGGAAATAAGTCGAGTTTCTTAACGTGCTGTAATTTCGAGCCTCTGTATCTAAGTAGTGATACTTTTTCCGCTTCCATTCCTACGGTAATTATTTACTGATCATTTCAAATTGTACAACTCAACACAAACAGACATTGAGGTTATGTAATTGCCAACAAACGTCAACCTATACCACAGAATTAAAGAACGGTTGGTATAGGTGCGTTCAATAAACCTATGCAATATACCGAGTTCTGCTGTATTATTGGCCATCACTGCATTTTAGAAGTCTCGTTAGAATTTAATTATTGTGGTATCAGATTCTTTTCTGTACGATTTTAGAATATACGGAAACAGATATAAGTATACTACACTTCAAGTATTTGTTTTATAGTAGCTTAGGCTCTCGAGTTGTTTCCAATTTGGGGTTTCTTGTGTAAAGTGATTTAAAATATAGGTATTATTTTCAACATTTGAACGCAACAAACGGTACCCATTTCGAATTCAAAAATACGTCAGTTTGTAGAGACCCATGTTTGTCCACTGGATAAAAGTTTTATAAAAAAATTTGAGTACTTTTTGAGATAAACATCAAATAACCTTTCTGGATGTGAACGTTTCCAACCTCTTCAACCCGTTTTCTGTGGGTGTAGGCCTTCCAATCGTACCACCTCGATTTATTAATATTAAGCCATACGCTGCTAATGTTTATTAACGACAAGTCTAAGAATTCTAAAGCATGACAATCAGTTGTGAGGGGAGTGGGGGGGGGGGGCATAATAATGGTCTTTTAACTTCACCTTGAGTTAATTGCTTACGTCGCCACTAGAGCCTAGCAACCGAGGAATTTGTGGGCAAAAATGGAAAGCATATATTTTAGGAATTTTGGTGAAAAATGTAATAAAGCGCCGCGCCGGGGAATGGTTTTTTTTATCGCGGACTGAAATATACTCACCATTTCTTGTAAGGACATTAATTATTAGTTAATCAGTTTGCGTTACCTACACTTTTTTATTTAATACACTTTATTTGTCTGGAGTTACAGTATATTTACCCCATCATATTGTAATATCTTTTAAAGTAAGGGAGGCAGGTGTGTATTATACCTACTTAACTGTGGGAGGAATATATGCAGCACCATACTCCTGTCGAGTCGTCACGTTCGCGGCAGAATTCGCTATAAAAGAAAACACATTATCTAATTATGTATTTGTTTTTCTAATTTCATGCAACTTTGCGTAATAATTTAAAAAAAATTAGACTTACCCGCCACCTGTACCTTCAGGGCAAGTTGTATGGTCAATATAGCAACTGCAATTACCATTACAGTAGGCTACCTGAAGGGCGACGATAACAAGAATATAAAGAAAAAATTTCATGTTTATGTATTGCTTTACTTAGTACTTGTTAGTTGTTACTAGTAAATAGGTACCTAACCCGTCGTTTTATACTACATTACAGAGCTTATCAATTTGAAGTTTCATTACACGTTTCAAATAACATCCACTAATCACAGCTCAATGATGAAAATATACCACTTATTAATTTAATAAAAACAAGATACAATTGAGATACCCATATCAAATAATTGCTTCAATCTGATCTTAAAAGGTAACGAATATATAATTCCTTATTAGACCACTTGTCTCCTGCAGAGTGAACGATGGTATCCTGATGTGTATGGAACACATCGTTAATATTAAACTATGCGCTAAGGGTCCCAATCACGATTTTGGTACATTAACTCCACGTCATTCACTGAACACTTATTTTGATCAAAGATAATTATTCCCTTTCGCAACGCTTTTGATATGGGCACAGATATATTATACTATCTGTGATATGAGTTAGTATTGAAACTTTCATTTGCGTGGCTTTTTTGTAGCTCTGAAACACAGGAAATGCGACAGTGTACCTAATAATAACGCTGAGATGGTTCATGAAAAATTAAAACGTGCAAATACCCACAAATGTAGTATCTTTGTACCTACCTAAATTTCAAGTTCCACAAGAGCTTCGTGATGTTATACTTCTTTTAATAGTTTACCTCTCATGAACAATACCTCTACAATTAATATCAGCAATTATTTTCAAACGGTACCAAAATCATCGGTGATGAAGTATTGAAATGCATTCCGGTTTTGCAGTCTCTCACTCGATGGACGTTGATCAGATAGATACATGCTCGGGAATTTCGTAGCTTCCGACAATATTTTGGTTTTTTTGGGACCGTATATTGTTAATGGACAATTGTGATTTTCTTGTGAATCATTTCTTGTTTTAATTTCTTGAATCTTGACCTCAGTTCCATATACAAAAAAAAATTTAAAAAAAACCACCTTTTGTTTATACATCCTTCTAAATTTAAGACAATTCAAAACTATGACGCTATAATTTCCGAGAACAATTCGGTACACGCCACCACTTAGTGGAAATTTCTTCTATTTCTCTGAAAATTCAAATTGTGATTTTCTGCATTGCTTGTTTGCAAAATTAGCCACGTGGCTATAGAATTTGAAGCATATATTGATAAAAAATTGACTGAATATCGAAGCGATAATAACACTGCCTAGCTATACCTATATGGCAAAAATTTGTATATAAAAACACACCTTATAAATATTCCACTTTGCATTTGTCTTACAACTAACATGTTCCAACGTTAGTGAGTTCATGCGACACCTGCGGCTTTAAGTTTCCAAAGGTTCCAATCCAAATGTTTCTTTAGAATTTTCTACTTTAATTAATTATACCTAAGTTTACGATGAATTTTCTGTAAGATATTCAATTTTTAATTTTTAAATATCCAAAATGTACCTACCTACAAGTACCTCTTATAAAATATCCTTCGGTAGATGTGGGAGCTCATGGTGGATCTTTTCACGCGGAACGTATGTTGAACGATTTTCCAAAAGCTCAGATTCGGGAATGCTAAGTAGCTGCGCCCAGTTCTTTTATGTACGTTGCAGTTTCTTTATTTATAACATTTTCATAAGATTTTTGTGGCAGAAAATTTGGACGAACTTTTTGAATTGAATTTTCGAAGCACAATTATGTAGGTAATGACTTTTATCAGGAATCAGAAAATATTAATAAATTTTATCAAATGTGCGAAGAGAAACTGTTTAAAATTAAATTAACTTGAATTAAAATAACAATATTATAGCACTAGCTGTAATTCTAGATATTAACCACTCGCAATTTCATTAACTCATAATCAGCATTTTCGAAACTACAAAAAAGTCGACCTAATCATTGCGAAGCACTACTTATTACCTTTTACATACATTCACTGCCATCAGCTATTTCAAATTGTCAACACAAAATGAAACTGCTAATACTGTTACTAGTGATGATTAAGTATGGGGCGACGATTTTTGAAAAACACAAAAATCAAACTTTCTGGGTAGCAGAATGTACAGGCAAATCATACAGAAATGTGAGTTTAGCGGCGTATTTCGCTGCAAATTCCGAAGCCGACACTCTCTGTGATATTAAAGGAAAGAAGTTGCGGTCACTTCAGGTATTACTTAATTCTAGATTCAAACGTTTAACCAGCACTCTGCTAGGATTATTTGGACGACCGATCTGACTTTGTCACATTGGCAATGGATGAAAAGCTTGGTTTACCCTATGGGACTAAAGTTTGCATACCCGAATTCGACACACATTACCGACAACATGTAAAATTTGAAGTACGTGATCAGGGAACCAATTTGAAAGGAATGGGTTATAAAAGGGCAGACGTATTTGTTCGCTCAGAAATGGACAGTTATGACACAACTGTTAACAATAAAGTAACTTTGGTGTTTTGGAAAGAATAATTTTTTATTGCTAATATCTAAAAATAAATTTTCAATATTGCTCTTTCTAGTCCATTAGAATTCTTCCAGCAGGTTTCCCACTTGAGCTCGGTTTCGCATTTTAAAAATTGAATAAAGTCATTTATACCGCCTCCACAACCGAAATAATGCCCTTTTGCTGCCAAATAACTTCAACTGTTAAGAAAAATAAGGCTCTCCTTATTTAGTGTTTAAAAGGATACATTATTCCATTTGGTTGCAGGCAATTGCTGAATACTCTGCACAATTTACGATAATTATCCGGGTTGTACACGGTTTCGCATGTGAAAATAACGTCGTACTTAGCACCCACAATACTAGCAAATGACTCCCAATCGCCAGCATAAAATCTACACTCTCCCACCTCGCTATTTAGACAAACATTGGGGATTGTAAAATGTGTAATCACGTCTTCATTCTGAAAATGACCTCTGGAAAATTTGTTGGGGAGAAACACAGTACATAGTCTTGAAAGCAGACGTCAGCACCAGACATACGGGCAACTATACCGATAATACCGCTGCCACATCCTAAATCGAGTACTCTTCTTTGATTCAACTCAATGTTTTCGTTCACAATGAAATTGGCCAAGTCGTGAGTACATTCCCAAACTTTTAAACCACCTACAATTAGCTATTGAATGTCATACAGGGGTTGTAGATGCAGCTTACCCTCGTATATTCCCACCTGCAAGTCTGTGCGGTTACTTTCGGCAGCACACAGCAGAGAATCCGGCGCTAATGTTACGTCAGTAACCAGTCGTATATTTAAAGTGTCGGAGTACGATATACTCTTTGTTTCGTAGCTGTTTGGAGTAACAGGCGAATTGCTGACGGGGATTTCCTTTGCATTATGCGAATTGCATGGAATCGTTTCTAAAGCTGCTAAGGGGGTGGTGGAGTTATTATCGAGGAAATTAAACTGAAACATGCTTCTCGACTACTGCTTCTAATATAAATAACGTTTAATGATAGAATTTTGAGGTTAGATCCGTTTCAGAGTAGTTCAAGAGACGGCTCCATAGTTCATATGTCTTGATGTGTACAGGGTGCTTCCACGAAAAGAATTGAAATACCAAAAAAAATTGTATTACATGTGCTTAATTACATAACTTTGATAAAATATAAAATCAAATTTCATCTGGAAGACCTCTTGTTATGGTTGTAGTCGTTCATAAATCCAATTTCCAACACCCTTATGTGTTAAAAGTGAATCGGGAATTTCGTCATTGTGAGCCTGACGAAACTTAATTCGATCGTGTATGCGATCATTTTGTCCCTGCCAAAATTCGATCGACTTTGGCACCACGGTATATCCACCCCTGAACATAAACATTATTTTACAAGGCAATTTAGTAGCCGCCATACCAATGTGGTGGTTTCGGTACTTCTCCAGACTCATATTTGTTTCTCAACTCATCCGCGAACTCTACCAACTTATCCCTGCTCTCAACTAATTCACTTTGGTCACTGCATAAAGCTCCAATCTGACTTGCATGAGGTCGACTTTTAAAATAATCATCGGCAAATGACATCGGTAGTTTACTTGCAGTCCCTTCAATTCTTACCGACCTATTGAGCGCATTCCAGTAGAATGTTAGAGCTACATTGGGATTTTCCTCCTTTAACGAGAGTTAATCAAATCACCAGCTTAATCGGTCACGAAATAACAAACCAACTCTCGGCCTTTGCGACTTGTGTAGTGGGTGTAAAATTGAAAACCATCCTCCCCGTAGCCCTTACACAGAACGAAACGTGCCGATGGAATACCGTCCCTGTAAATAGATTTAGAATCTCAAAGTGTGAGTGATGCGAGGTACCTTGTGGCGGTTGATAAACACATAGCATTCGGCTCGATCAGCTCCTGGGTGTTTCTTGCCTCTTGGAACCATTGGTCGAATAATTTGATTGGATCCTTAACAGCAATGCTGTCCTCTAGGAATGCATTGGCTCTGGTTTTGTAAGGGATTCGAATACCTGCGGTTGATTTATGGATTAAGCGAGTGAGACACAATTTTAGAGGCATGGTTTACACACCACCTATATCCATCTCACAGTGTCTTTAGAAGCAGTAGCAGTTTGTACCCCCCACATCACAAGTTATTTATTTATCTCATTTTGCATGATAAAAGCTCTGTTGAATTTAAAGCCCCGTTTACACGTATTATGCAAAATTAAGAGGTGATTACCACTGGCGTTGAATTGGCGATAGTCGTCGTTAGGAACGAGTAGTTCAGTAGCGTACTAAAATAAGAAAGTCGTTATCACTACATTTATATACAAGGCACAAATAATTGTATACTTTATCTGGAATAACAGAAAGAAATCCAATATGAAGGAAATTGCGGTTGCATTGTTATAATTCATGGGAATTGCTTGAGACAAATAGACGGATGCGGAAGCAACCACAGTAACAATTAAAATCTTCCACATTCAGTTCTCCTAATCCCTAGGGATCTAGGTGCCATTACAGATAAGGTCACAGAGCTTTATATGACGATAATAATTATCGTAAATCATTTATAGGTATTAAAATTGAGGATCTAACCGCAGGATAAATGAGATAAGGACAAGGGTTACGCTTACGCCATACATATAACTTTAAAGGGTCTAAACTCTAAAGTATTTAGGTACGGCTTAGGTTGTTCTTGGAATTCTCAGAGATTTTCTTGCAATTCTGAAATTTTTTCTTAGAATTCGAATAGCCCTTGCTCCTTTGCATCGGGTCCCCTTCCAGTTTCTTCAGACTTGTATCAAAATTTGGAAATTTCACTAAAATTTATTGCTTCTCTCAAATTCCTCTTACACTTCGGTTAAGTTCTCTTCGGGTTTTTCATGAATTAGGCAGTGAACCACAACAAAGGGTCTCTCTTTTGCGGTTCCTGGATTAATTATGCTTAAAGAGTTGATCAGCAACCCTGAATACATAAATTCGACTTCACGTTATTTATTTTTTAATAAAACCGCCCTCTTAATTGCAACTTAGATACTGCAATAGGCGTCAATTTTGCGATGCACATTTCTTTAATTGATTAATTTAGAGGGTTAATCGGTAACCCTGAATACATAAATATGAAAATTTTACCCTTATCCCATTTTGACTTACGTATTTTTTAATGAAACTTCTTTCTTCATTGGCACGTATGGATAGGTATTAACTGCAAAGGGTGTGAATTTTATCATGCATCTCATATTTTAATTACTATGATTGATTATGCTTAAAGGGTTGATCAGTAACCCTGAATACATGCATATAAAAATTCAACCCTTATCCGGTTTTGACCTACGTAGGTATTTTTTATTGAAATTTCTGTCTCAAATGGCACTGCAAGAAGTATCCATTTTATGATGTATCTGAGATTTTAACTTTTTCCTTGATTGTTCAAAGGGTTAATTAGCAACCCTGAAGAAATTCAACCCCTATGCGATTTTATCTTACGTATCCTAGATTGGTTTTTCTCTGTAAGCTAATCTTATACCTTTATTACTATAATATTATTTATTCTTGGTTATGAGATCTCAATACATCTACTTTTCTGCACCCTCATTTCGGTAATTGAAATTTGAAGCGCATTTAACGAGTTGGAGAGATTGAGGTAATTATTAATAGTTTTGGCTAATGTAAATTATTTGATTGTTGATACTTTTTTGCATTGAGCTAGCTTTATGGGAAACACAGATACAAAACTCTTCGATACCAGAATTTAGTATTGCTTGGATTTTTAGGGGAGGTTCACCTTGGATGCCTAGTAATTTTTTTTTACTTTCAATTTTTTGAATGGTTATGAACTTTTGTAGCACTAGGGTGTCTACCGGTTTACCCAAGAAAAAATACAAAAGATAATTTCGGTCGGGGGATTATTTTTATCGCAAACACGCGGTAGTTACCGACAGATCGAATTGATAGTTTATAATATTTATTGTAATCGCTTACAGGCTATTTTTATCACAGATTTTACTTCTTTAACCTACGTCAATTACGTTAACATCTAGGAAACACTTATGCTTCAATCTTGCCCACCATTCCCGATTGTTCTACGCTTCCTTGTTATTCGTACCTGTGCTTCCTTGAAATTGGCGGACGTCTTTAAATCTTGGCCCACCAGCAGGGGGTCATTGTGAATTAAAATGGACATCTGGGCCCGGCGGGACAGCTGATCGGTTTTGGTTTTGATAGCTTCAGAATCATCATCTCTTGATACTCAGATCGAGACTCTGGTGCTACTTTCCTCGTGAGGTTATTAAGGAGTCCACATCAGTCACTTATGGCACCACTTCCGCAACATACCTAGCAGTGAAGGACCCTGAAAGATGAAACTGAGCAGTTCCCAGAAGGATCGGCAATCGTTAAACGGGACGTCTCACCACCAGGAAGATGCAAAGTCCCTATAACATCAGCTGCTCGAGTTACTAAAACGCGGATGGTTCAAACTCCGGAAGTGGAAATTGCAATAAGGAACTCATATTTTCACCCTGCCCGAGGATCTACAGGAAAATGGGTTCGTGGATCTTAGACCAGAAGACTATTAAAAAAACCCTGGGAGTACAATTGCCACCAATCCAAGATGACTTTCGGTCCGGAGAACACACCTACCAAGCTAAGGGTCCTATTCCAGATCGCAAAATTACATGATCCACTATACTGGGCTGGCTTACGGCAATGGTAATCTGGGAAACCAGTGGCGGACTGACCCGGGGGGGCGGTGGCGGTTGCCACCTGGCCTGTAGATCATAATGGCCCGTTGGAAATTATAAGTATGTGCTGTATTTAGTTTCTTGCACTATTAATAAATATATAACACGTTTCTCTAATTGGGGTTGATATTAGGTTGTTAAAAAATTCTGTTTTAATTGAAGTGTTTTACAATGAATTTATCATTTTTTGTCGTAGCATGAAAGTGCTGAAATACAATGATAGGCGACCGCACCTCGTGTGGATTGTATATTTTGTTACTTTTAATTATCAGCTGCAAATTTAAAAAAAACTGTATTGATTTTCGAGAAAGAGTACTGTTTTTGTGGTGCACCTCAGGCACCCCCCCCCCCCCCCGCCATCTTCATTACTACACTATAATACTTTAATGGCCCGTAACCTATGCAATTCCACCTGGCTCTTATGTACCAAAAACCGTAAGTGGTACGAGAAACTTCCCTCCCATTTGAGCGATAAATGAACCACCTTCCAAGGAGAACTCAAGCAAGTAAGGGAGACCGAAATCCCAAGATGGATCCACTACGATGGGAAGGTAACTCCACGCTTTCTGTGACGCATCGGAATGGGCCTATGGAGCCGTGACAGACCGGCCTGTTACAAGATTGGGAAGAGTAAGATATTAGTGAAATTCCCGTCTTGACAGACAAAACGATCTGAAACCATGTAAAGTCAGGGGTTAATCCAGTCGATTTAATATCTCGAGGAGCAACCGAGCGGTAGCTCCGGACGAGTGAGTGGTGGCACGAACCAGGATATCTCCAAGAAGCACCGAGTGCGAAGGATGCCCTACACGTGGCAAAAACGCAAGAGGAAAGGTGATTACACTCAGCATACAAAGATAGGACTCCATCACGGTCAGGTTTTCCTCCATTGACAAAATGATAAGGATCATAGCATACTTTCGAAGATTTGTGGCGCCATGTTAGAAGACAGCCTCTCAAAATGGGGTTCTAGGAACATGAGACCTGCAGGCAGTTCCAAGATCTACCACATGGAACGTACAAAGACAACATTATCCAATTGAGAAATGGATTTAAAGCGACCGCCAAAAGTAAGAAAGTATAATCTTTAAGAATAACAATGAAAATGCGGATTAATGCGGAAATGTGTATAGGTACTATTTTACTACTAAGAGTCAGAAGCGTTTCCTGGATATTAGCGTAATTAAAGTAGGTTTAGGATCTGTGATGTAAATAGACTGTCACCTTTTGGATCCCTGGACTTCACTATCCCTTATGAATATACGAGTAACCCGGCACTTTCCTGCTGCACGTGCTTTGTCTAAAGTGCTGCTACATCTAAATGGTACCAAATTGCATCATGATATTTACGTACTGCAACTACACGTAGTCCAAGTTTTAAGCACAGGTCATTATTACTTTTTCATTTAACCCTAAAATAGGTACCTTATCCAATTATAGAACAAATTAGTACATCGAAGCAATAACGCTAAGGGTTAGAAAGCATTTCTTTCGAGAAAGGAGAACCTTTTGGAACGATCCTTTGTTATATGAGGCAAATAATCTCTTACTCAATTGGGGTTCATCCATTATTATCTATTAATATTTGGGCTAATAGGGTTTTGTTATAATTGTTACTAACTTAGTCACCACCTATTGAACTACCCTGCCGCTAAACCGGTTAAACCAAAAATAAGCAGACCCTTCTAGGAGAATGAACTTTGTTGTTCTTATCTAAGGGTTCAATCTCCTTCACGCTTTTGCTGACTCATTGCAATTAAAAATTGATGAGTACAATATCAAAATTGCATACATTAATTAAAATATCGATCCATGTACAGACTCGTCAAAGGTGAAAATAACAAAGTACGATAGAGGACTATGCAAATTAAATAGGATTTTACAAGAAAACTGAAATTCTCCCAAATTCAATTCTCTGTAATAAACAGGTCCAGATAGCTACATAAATGATTCGATGGTCTCAGTATCTACTGGCAATTCATTTTTGTCAGATCTGTTTCTACCAACGTGCTTTTGATCCATAGATCAAATTGAAAATTAATAGATATTTATTATTCCATACTACTTAGGTATATGTTACATAGTTAGATTAATCTGAAAGTGTAACAATAACAAACTTAACATCAAAATTATATAATTTGTGCAACAGTTTCAAGATCTAACAGCAACAGTAAGGTGACATAATATTCTATCATAGATCCATTTAGTATGAAAATATTAAAATGTTTCCTCCTCCTCTTGGAGTCTCAATATATCTGATTTATTCATAAAGTAGTACGATGGTTGTCTTCCCTTAAGATCCTTAATGACCCTCTTAGCTCCACCCTTGACCAGCAACTTGTTTATCGATTCCATTTTTTCAATGCCCATGGAGTAATGTAATGCCGTACGTTCGAGCTGAGAGCACATGTAGTTAGATGTACAAAAATTGATTATTTGCGTCTTACATTGTCACCAACATTCAAGGTGTCGGGGAAGGTGTTCACTAAATAATCGACAATTTCTTCTTGTTGACACAGAACGGCGATGTGAAGGGTGCACCGGCCGTAGCTGTTTTTGCCAATTGCTAGTAGCTTTCCACTACCGGTCTCATTTTCATCAGCTAATAACGAGGTGACTTCGTATATTGAACCTTGTCGGATTGCGTGATGTACACGTTCGCGTTTCTCCTAAAAGTGACCAATTATTTTGACGTTAAGTAATGTAAATATTTAAAAAGTAATGGATTGGATAATGTTAAATTACAGTTGAATACAAATGAGAGCAAAAAAAATCAATAGACACTCAGTAAATGAGTGATTTACTGCGTTTTGCCCTGACACGTTCACCTACTCACCTCGAAAGTGAGAATTGATTGCAAAAATGACACAGTCTCGTCCTGTTCTTTTGATGACACAGCCTCAATGATGGGTACGTCATCTTCGTCGACCACGTCGGTTATGTGGTCGTACCCATTCAGCAGCAGTTCGACTAATTTGTCAGTATCCCCTTTGCACGCGATGTGTAAGACGTATTTGTCAATTTCGTTTGTGTTTTCAGGAATGTTTGCCTGGATGCTTATGTCTCTAGCGGTTCTGTAGAGCTCGTCTCTATAACTGATATTCACTTCGGTTTCTATCAGCAATTGAAAGAGTGCATCCCTTCCGTGTGAACGTGCTGCAGCAAAGTGCAGCATACTCTGCCCGTGTTCATCCTAAAAGTTTCACTGAGCTAATCACCAAACTAGGGGCGATACTCTTACTCTGCTGGTCTTGTTAAAAGCAGACTCCTCCTCGCCAGTACTTTCAGCGTCCGGCTCAAGGGTGACGACATCAATTGTTGTTGGAATCGCGTTGTTACTGTCGACGTCCTCAGGGGGGCCAGTTATTACTTCCTCGTTTTCCTAGGATCGTGCAAATTATTACCGATAGTGGCACTGGGAGGTTGACTCACCTGCGTTTTCCCTCGTGAATTGTTATTGGCAAAATTGTACAAGTAAGTTGCGAGATACGCGATTGGATCGTCCGGTCGTTTGTTGGCGACCTCTGTTAAACCCTTAATTAAAGGATCCCCGAGTGCTGAAACAATCAATTTTGTTACGAGTTATCTAGCGACCTACTAAGACAACACCAAAAGCTTTCTGCAAGGTTATTGGCCGTTTTTTGTGCCGTTGGCCCCTCCGACCCGTAAAGCTCAAGTGGTGAACGTATTTAAATGTGCAAATCTGAGTGGGAACTGAAGAGACCCTGAAGTCAGCGGTTAAAGGGCTCGTTGAAAAGATTACACCAAGCACTATGCAAGAAAGATCTTTATTTTCTTTAACCAAACAAAGCGTTCTACCAGCTCTTGTCACGTTTCTAAAGTTCTTTAACGGGCATGACTTACAAGATGCTAGATATCTTCCTTCTTCCGTGTAGAAAAATGGCATATCTACTTGAACATTGTTCGTGGACTTATCTGCAACCAAAATTCACTAGGTTAGAGCTTTTTATGTAATGATGCGGGGAGAATGCGTGGAATCGTGAACAGAATAGAAAAAGCTTGTGCGTAACAAGGCGAACACACTCTCAAAAACCAAACAAATTTAAAAAGCGCTCGCAACTGAAACATACATCTCACGCGGTCACTACACAACAAGTCAAAAAGATTACAAATTGTGCAGAACGTGCGTATTACTACACACCACCTTAATTTGATTGGAGTGTGTTGTGAATTATTTTACTGACCTAAAGATTGTTTTAAGTCCATCCATTTCGTGAATAGATAGAAATAAAAAGTGAGGAAACTTTTGGCACTATTTACACAAGTATTATGTACAATACTAAAACTAAGGCTAATACGTTAAGCAGAATTCAACAGTCCGGCCTTTTTCTTTCGAAATATGTTAACGAACAGCGCGGCGATGTGCAATGAATTTGACATCGCGAGGTCTTTCTCCAGTTGAAGAATGTTACCGACAGCCGTGGTGAGATCTTCGAAAGTTTGCATCTCGGTCAGACCGACGCTTTGTCGGTTGCCAATTCGAACGGCATCCGACGAGTTGTCGCATTTGCTGTAGGTCAAGTTGCGTGTAGTGCACAAGTGTCGCAGATTCTCCGGCTCCTTGATGAGATGCGGGAAGCGAACCGTTAGGTTAAAGTGTAGGGTGTTACCCAAAGAGGTTGGTCGAGCTGAAAGGTACCCGAGCTTCGGGTCCTTCTTAAAGCTGACACTCCCGTTAATCGCGTTCAGCAGTCTGTAAACTCGAAAGTATATCTGTCCAACGTTTCCGGGTTTTTGAGCCGATGTACAAGTCACAATGCGCAAGTGGTCCAAGACGTTAATCCACGCGGCCAGATTTCCGCTGCTGCTCACGAAGACCCCTCTCCCGTACGGCCAGTGCTTACCGTGCAGCCGATCCGAATCGGGAATATCCCACAAGGGAATCAGAAGACCATTAGCTGCTAGTACCACGCGAATTTCCGACGGATCCTCGAGAACCTCGTTCATGGTGTAGTAATTCCCACTGCCTCGTTCTTTAAGATCTTCCTCCGTGGCGTTAGGATACAGAGCTTTCGCCATTTCGCAATCTAACAGCACGGAAGTTAAAATCCGTTCGACTTCCTCCAACTCGTTGACGTTTAAAGACTTGGGCAACTCAAAACCCTCAACGTTTCTGGTGCATTCCAACGTGCTGGTCACTATACATTTCGCGAACGGATCTAAGTCCAAGTCGAAATCGCTCACATCGTCCGCCTCGAAAAATTGGGTCTCGGGGTGATCTTTCAGCTCGGAATTGATGCAAATAAAATTCGCGTCTTTGATTACCGGCTCCAGGTACTCGCGAAAAACGCAATACGAGTAATAGTCTGGCACAACAACTCCCAGCGGGAAATCTTTTTCTAACGCTATCCTGAATTCTCTTTCGACCGGTAGTTTCTTCACGCTGGGCCATATGATGTCGTAGAAGTTGTGATCGAGCTTTGTAAGGCGCAGCTTTACTGCGTCAAAAACGTATCGTTTCATGTGCTTGCTGGACACGGACGAGGTGGAAATGTCAGATAGGCTGGTCAAACGCGAGGCGGCCGATATGGCGTTAGAGCTTCTTCTCCCGTGCAAAAGGTTGTAGCAACGTTCCAAGACCGCCAACATATCGGCGTCGTCCAAATTTTTTCTAGCCGAACAGTCGTCATTGGGAACTGCGTATTAAGTAAGATATTTAACACAAATCGCCTTAAGTAGGTAACTATCAAGCTGAGGAGGTTTTGGAAAAAGCTTTGCAAATCATAGCGTTATACATATTTATGTACAGTATATAGTCAAATTGATCTAGCCCAGTTATTCGTTTCACGTCTTACTGATGATACGTACCCGCTGATGAGGACCGAGAACTTTAGGGTTTAAACGAAAACAAGCGCAAAAACAAAAACTCACACAGTGTTAAAATCTTATTCACTTACGTATAAATAACTGAAGATTAAACAATATTTCTATCATTGCTCTTCCTATAACATGATAACGAATTATGGAATATTTTGATAAATCACCAAAGGCACATATTTTTCATTGATACGCACCCCACAGTAAATCATTAATTTGGTGCGTAGGTAGTGCTTATTTTATACTTAACTATTATTGCAAATATTTCTATGGCTGAAGCTGAAGGTTGTTAGATCAAGAAATGGAAGATAGATAGAATAGAATGTGCCAGAAAAAATTTAAAAAATGAGAAAATGAGTGGGTATCCGGAAAATCGCTGCGTTGTGTTACCCTTGTGAAATATTGCTCTCAAAATTCGATTTTGCAACTTTTTCGGGAGTTGAGTTTCTTTGTCTTGGTAACATGTTAGGGAATTGCTTTGTGGACGTAACAAAATGCGCTACCTTAATGGATAGGAGCAGTATATTAAGTAGTGGTGAGTAATACCCCATTACCTACCCAAAAAGACAACATGATGAGGTTTCGTGGTGTATATGGTCCAAATTAATGGCTTTAAAAAATTTTTTTTTAAATAGCTTTTCATGAAAAAACTGATTGCTAAAAAACGACTCGGATCGTGACGACCAAAAAATTGAAAGCGCCAAGTGGCTAGTGTAACTTTTGAAAGCTCTAATACGGATCAGATCCAGATGGCACCTAGTGGCGCACGGTAATACTAATAAGGAGAGAGTGGTTCTATGATGATGCTAAGTCAAGGGAAATTTAGCATAATCAAAGCCCTTTACGCTCCTCCCTTCCTTCACTTGATTGCAACTAGGGTCTCCCAAACATCGCCCTACTCTTCTAGGTACAGTTCGGGCTCTTTGCGCACAATGCTCGTTATTCCACTAGTCTCGAAGCCCTTTAATGCGTAATTTCGTGTGTAGTGTCAAAATGTCAGGTTTATCTTCTGCATTTAATGTCAGAATTGTAAAAATACGTCATTCATTTTTCACAAAAATGAACAAGAATCGCCTGGAAAATATGTGCCTTGAACTATAAACAGGAATTGTACTAAAAGAGCGAAAATTAAGAAAATGTATATATTGAATTTCGAGTTTAAAGACGGAATTTTTCAATTTCGAGTCGAAATTAATCTCAAATGTAGAGTAAGTCCCAGTTTTCTTAACCTTAGAATGTAACCTTCCACTAAATTTCGCGTTTTTGATTAATTTTTGGTAACCATCAAAACATTGCAAAGAGTTTACTCCAAAATAAGAGAATTCTGGATTTTAACACACTAAATTGTAGGGAATTTTGTAACGATTCTACATGCACTCTGCCCATTAAAGATACGGACCTGCTTCCGTGAATCAAATGAAAATAATACAAGAAGTTACCGACAGGATTTAGTCCCGTGGGTCTTCGTAATACTCTAACGAGGCTTAGCAATAAAAAATGAAGGAGTTTAAGCCATGCCAAAAAGAGGCCTTAGGATCTAGGAACCGTTTGGAAAATTACAGTTCAAAAAAGCATTTTAAACCATGTCTTACTTCAAAATCAGTTAAAGAAGTTAGTGAAACTTTGGGATGTTGTTCGGGGATGGTTATTTATCATATTGTCAAGTTTTGGATCCCGAGGACTGCAAAATATATCGATACAAAACTTCTGAATTTAATTTAGAAGTCAAAAAAGCAAGCTGAGGTTCTGCGGTCGCAGTCGTTCCCATATAAACAGTATTGTCATATGTTCTGAAAGTCATTTTATATCGTGCTTCGCGTCACATTTGACGTATGAATCACATATTTCATTAGAATGCATAATCATCTACTTCACTTTATTTACCCTTGCGGTTAAAGTGTCCCCTAGCTTGATCTACCTTCTGGTTAAAGAGCGACTTAGCCGATTCATACAAAGCTAATTTAAGATCTGCTATAACAGAAAGAACTTGACTTGTATATTTAAGAATTCAACATAGGAAATTTGTATGTTCAGAGTTAAAATTTATTCACTGTGTCCAAATGTAAAGAAAGCGTTTAAAAAAAGTCTAATACGCTTAAAACATTTTTCATTTAATTTGTATATAGGGCTTTTAGGCAAAAAATTCATTGAAAAACAACTTGCCTCAATAAAAAAAACCCTTCTTACAGATCTTAACGTATAACATTTAAAACTACTGCGTTTCCCAATATTGGATGACTACATCAAAAGCAAAAAACCGATTTCCAAAGAAAAACGAATCCTGAAAATTCTAGTTTGGATTCTACCAAAATCTATAACGAAAATTTATCGACAGAATTTATAGGCAAATTTTAGATCGACAGGGAAAAAGCTTTTCTTATACAATTTTGGCGTATAGAATCCAAAACGACTATTCAAAAGTTACATGGGCCAAAAAACCACGATTGTAGAAACCCACGTTAGATCAATCTGAGAAAGACTTTTTCATATAAATTTTGAAGCCCAAAACGAAGTAAGAAACGTCAATGTGCAGCTTAAAATAATATGAAGTGCGCCTTTTGCATCTATTCAAAAAATTTTAATTCAAAAAAATATGGAAGATAAACGGAAGAAATAAATACGAAGGGGGGTCACAAAAAATATGGCACAAATAGTCAAGGTTCTGCCGACCATTAGAAAAGGAAGGACCAAATTGTGCCAAGACGTTCACGTTCTGATAGGGGGTAATGGGAAAGGTTGGGGAAAGGTTTTTCATAGCGTTTCCAGGAAATTTAACACTCATTTCAGGGACACCATATTTTTTGTAATGGCTATTCAGAACCTTTTGTCCTTTTCTTAGGACGATATAAGCCTCCAAAGTTCTGGCAAGGGCATAGTCATAAAGTATTTTGGGGAGGCACTCGAAAAATTACCTGGAAGACTATGAAAAACCTCCAATCGTCTTCTAGTATTTTCGCATTAAATTGAAAGTGCTTTTCGTTGTTTTTCCATATCATTCTAGGGTCAATTAAAAGGATTCCAGTACCCTCTAGCCCTTTATAAACTATTTCCTGGGTTGGAATGCCTTGAACTCTCTGGAGAACACCTAGAAAAGTTAACTAAGACATTTTTTGGGAAGCTCCATCACATCTTTGATTTCTTTAGATGACGCCGAGAGGGTTCTCCATAGAATTCAATGTATTTCCTAAAGCTTTATTACGCTTATCAAGGGGTTTATATGCATAGCCATTTCCAGAGGAATGGAGAAGCAAGTCTTCTATGAGCTTACCAGAACCTTCTTGCTTCCAACCTTTTCTAACGTTAGGACATATTCCTCGAAAGTTAGGGACACCATATTATCTTACTAAATTTATTTCCCAAATTTCTGGATTGATAGATAGGCCGCACCAAAGATGATATCTATAATTTACCTATAAAAATTAATTTTAAATGGGTACCTAAATCAATTCTTGCTGGGAGGGGGGCACTATCAATTTTAAACTCCTACTGCCTTTGCAAGTTCCAAAAATTAACAGTTCGAATGATTTGGGGAATTCCCTTTCTCGAAAATAAGTGTGTTCAGATACGAAAGTGAACATAAAGAAGTCCCATAGGAGACGAATTAAATGTTACCAGTATTAATTATGCTTCATCACACATCAGTCTAACTGACATAAAATCAAGTATAAAACTAAGTGACGTTTCATCGACGACTGGAAGAACCGCTACGAAATAAAAATAGACCAGTGAATGTCAAAATTTTCCATGTAATCTCGATAGTTCTTTTATTAACCGACGTGGTATTTCGGTCTAAAATCGATAGGTTTTCAATTAATTATTCAATCGACGAACCGTATTCTAATACGTATAAAATAAAATTGTCTAGATCAATTTTTATCCACCTTTAATTCTACTACAAACTACAGTTTTATTCTGAACTTTTTCCGCCTACCTTTATCGTGTATTATGTCGTCGGCCACGTCTTCCGCTCCGAATTCGCACAGTAAAATTCGATGGGAGAACTCCTCTCGATCTGTGCGGTAAAACTCGGGGGTATGTCCAAACTGCGCGAATGGATATGTTAGGAGAGAGTACTGCTGGGAGTTTGGAAACGTACCTTGTCCTCGGCCTTGGGGTTGGAGCCGAGGTGGATGAGCAGGTTGAAGTAGTGGTTGTTGTCGTCTAAGACGGCTGCGTAGTGTAAGGGTGTTCGATCGTTGTTGTCCACCGCGAGGACCGTTTCGGGAAATCGACCCGCCAGGTACCGCACGATGCTCGTGTTTCCAAAGATGGTGGCAACGTGCAGGGGCGACGTGCCATTTGGAGAAATGTGATCTTTGGCAATTGCGAACTTGCGCCTGTCCAGCGCCGCCTGTAAGTCCCTTAGGCTTCCATCCTTGGCCGCGACGTGTATCCGGTTAATCTTGGACTGCAAACAAGTTTTAAACGCGAATCTCGACGAAAACCACTTACCATATACGTGGGGACATTATCCAGAAACGCTTGCAGTTCCGGATTATCGGAATGGTATCCAATAAGTTTTTCTCCGTCCCCATTTAAAACGAGCGCGGCCAGTTGTTCCATGTTACCCTCCTCGATCAGGGCCAGTATCTCCGGGTCGTCCTCTTTATCCTCCACTCCTTGTCCTTGTTCGTTGACTGATTCAACTTCGTTTTCCCCATTTACAATACCTTCAATTACGCCTACGCCTTCGTCAACAACTTTCATTTCTTCTTTTGCTTCTAAGGCTGGTGCGGCTGGAGGGGCTGGAGTGACTGGAGGTGCTGGAGTGGCTCGCGGGGCTGGAGTGGGTGGAGGGGCTGGAGTGACAGGCTTCGGCGTGTCCACGCGCGTTTGTTCTGCGACAATTTCGGCGGGGGCCTCTTCCTCTTTGTCCATTACAATTTCAGGGCTAAGAGTGGGCACTATTTCGGGTAGAGCTGGTGCTGTTTCATCTGCAGGTAAAACTTCAACATCTTCACTTTCAGTTATGGGCTCGTGTAAGGTACCGTCGTCGTCTTCCTCAGGTTCGCTCTCTTCCTTGGGATTCGCATCCTCGACGTCATCATTAATGTCACCATTCGCTATGACGTCATCTATCACAGTTTCGACCAGATGATTAGCAACATCCGGTATTGATTCGGCTACAACAACTTCGGGTTCAGGTACGGGGTCTGGTTCGGGTTCCGGTTCGGGATCCGGCACCGCGGGGGGTTCCTTTTCCGTCCCGTTTTCTTTGACTTCTTTGTTTTCATTTTCGGGAACTTCAGTCGTTTGTTTTTCAGCTTCGTGACTCTCTTCTGAGGGTTTCTTTATTAATTCTATTACTTTTCTTACAGGTTTTGAGATGATCTCCACATTGGCGAGTGCGCTCCAATCCCAAGTTGGAGCGAATCCTTCCTTTGCTGTACGGGGACATTCTGGAATGACGTGCAGTAGCTTGCTGTCAATTTCTGAAGAGCGCTGTTTGTAGTAAGCCGCTGTTTTCTGCTTCTGCAAGGGATTCAGTTAAACTCGTTTCGCACACGTGCGTTTATCTTACGTTGTCGAGCAAGGATTCGTCCGCCCCTGCTCCAATTAAATAGTCGAACATTTTCCCATCGTCTTTCGCTAGCGTTGCGAAATGCAACGGCGTTCGGCCGTCGTTGTCGGTGATATTAACGCTAAGAGGGTAGTTTTCCACTATGTATTCCGCAATACCTTGGTAGCCTAATCCGGCAGCCTAAAATTGAGAGGGTGCTAATTGTAAAACTATTAAAAACTGTGTACCTTATGTAGAGGTGACAGTCCATTAATATCTTTTGCTGATAGTATAACTGGAGGAACCGGGGAGCTACTGTGCGTTTGTAATTGCTCTAAATCGTCATTGACGACGTCCGTGTGAATGTCCTTAATTAATCCCTGAAAAATGAGGGTGCGACGCGTCAATAATGCCCTACTTAAATTTCATCGCAAAAACGAAACTTACCAAAATAGGCGGCACAGCTTCCAAAAACTTCTTCACCTTGTGATTGGTACTGTGCTCCACTAATAATTTAGCTCCGTGTCCTTCCCATACAACTTTCTGCAAATTGCCCAAATCTCTTTGATGGATCCATATTCGTATGTTCGACTTTTTAATGACGACACCTGAATTTATAAAGTCCTTCATTATGAGAATTTATGCACGTACAAAGATTAGATCAACAACTACAACACTGACATGGCAAAGCGTCGTTAAATAAATGGACGTTTTCCTTCGATTTCTTTGCATTTCGATTTTCAAATACACTACGCAGCATGTAAATGGTCAGGTGACTTCGGAGTTTAATAATTTAGTAGTTTTATCGATTGCATTTGTGTGAAAAACAACATTGTTGTATATTACTTACGTGGAAAAATCGAACATCATTATGTGCCACACTTCATGTCAACGATGGGGCGCATTTTATTTCTACGACGGATTAATTTGCTAACCAAAAAGTTTCCCTGTAAATATGTTTTCCGAAATAAAAGCAAATTGAAGCGAAATCGATACTGATCGACGTTACTAACAACGTAACTTTTGCAAAATTTAATAGCCAAGTCTCCTTTTGTTTATTTTCTGACAAATGGTAGATTATTAGACTTAAATATTTTTATAAGGGACATATGAGTTTGAGGGTTGAATTGTGTATTTATATTAATCGCAATATTTAGAATTGTTACTGTCTAAATGCTTTACATTAGTAGTCTGTTCTCACAAGCCAAAGAGGTCCAAATCTAATTTTTTGAGTTGCCAAAATCACGTGGAATTTGTAAAATGATGCTTGTGGTTATTAAAAATGTGAACAGCCCCAACCTTTTAACGGTTTAGTTACTTTTACAGGAGTTGCAAGCCCCACTCGCATAAAATCAATTTTAATCTCTACGGCACTGGTAAAACTTTACTGTAACCATTCATTCTTTTAAATGAAATAATTTAATCCACGGCTAGGTCGGTAATAAATACCTTAATGACCCTTAGCAGGGGTGTGTAACAATTCCAAAAAGCATTACTTACATAAATGTTGAAAACACCTGAAACAAACTTTTGGTAAGGACCAACAAAATTAATTATAATTCGGCATGAGACATATATCTGGATCGTTAAAGGGTTCCAATAAACACAAGTTTTACATGAATTAATAGACACAAATTGACAAATCAAATTAATAACAAAATTCTACCAATCAAACTACCAATTGACACACTTCTCATAAGCGTTCCAGGAAACTGGTTTTTGTTCTCTGCCTAATGCATCTACTCCATTGGCCGACAAACAAATTAATTACTATTACTGCAATTAATGCAAAATTTCAGGAAGTGAAGAGAGTTTTCTTAGGGGGTAGCTTTTCGGAAGCGAAAAAATGTACCCTTCTATTTTATCATATAAAGCATGATTCGTGGTAATACGCTTGTTACCAAACCAATCATCGATTAATTTTAATGTGCCTATTAAACATAAATAAATAATTTATATTCCCTGTAACATGCGGTACATAAAAGTCACGCGTGGTAGTAAAGGAATACTGGGGTTTTATCGAATAACAAGACCGAATATCAACAATTAAATATTAATAATGTCTTCGGTACGATTTTCTAGTTTAGTTTCGTTACTGAATTTGAATTGGTTCAGTTGCATTTTGCAAGTAACTGACAAGATCTAATCGCGATAAAACTGTTGTTGCGCAAATAGTAATAATTACTGATACTAATAATATTACAACTGCTGGAAAATGCTAATTTATTCTTTTGTTGCAGGTGAGTCGTATAATGATACCATTAGTTCTCTGTAGATAATTGCAAAGGGTAAGTTTATTTTAATATTCTGAAATTTTCAATCCTTTATTACTGTAAGTCGAGGTAATTGCCTATATATTATATAAAGCAAATAATAACTTAACGGTAATTTATCATAGTCACTATCCTTGACGCTTTTATTGGTGGCTTCATCGAATAGGTGGTCAAATTAGGCCACGAATTTATTGTGGTACTACATTAAAAGGTCATAAGTTCCCTTTTGAGCAAAAAAACATTAATTTATACTAAATTGGAGTAATTTCGTAAAATGCATTTAGGTGCAAATTTTCAAGTCCAATTTTTGTTAAATTTCAAGTAGACATTTTCCCATTTTTAAGTCATTTAAGCTTTATGACAAATTTAAACCATTCGTCTACTCCAAAACGGATTTATGTAGTCTGTAACGGTCGTCGTAATTACTACCGACGTTAATAAATAATGGAACCTTAAATTTTCTAGACGGTTCAATAGTTAGGCTATGGATTTTGTTTCGGTTACCTTCATGCCTTAAATAATTTGGTGTAGATAATGTATACGTCTTTCCCAAATGTTTATCTTCAATCCTTATTTTTTACGTAAGGATGGCCTAAAATGTACAATTTAACGATTGTATGCTACAATACTAAATGATGAAATGAATTAACTAAGCATACTAGCTCAAACATGATTAATCACAACCTATAAAATTTTTTGTTAGAATACAGGGTGGGCCCTGTCTATGGGTTCCGATCGAAGTGGAAATATTTTAGGTTTGGAGCTTTAAGGGTTCCCCACCAAGTCCAAGGGGCGAACTTTAAAAATGTACGGTAATAAACCCACAAGGATCCATCTACACAGTATTGGCCCACTCGCTTTTCATTTCATTAAAAATTTGGGGTTGTTTTTGAAAAGTGGAAACACTGGAACGTGTGTGTGTTTCGACAGCAAGGCCGTCCTCGTCAGCGAACAATTTGTTGTCTATTGTGGACTTCCAAAAGTTTTTCATTTCAAATATATGTATAACGGTTTTCTCTAAAGGGAGATAAGCCGGGTATATTCAGCAATTGTATTCTTTGTTGATAATTTTAAGAAAAACCTTTAGCAACCATTATCCACCATTATAATACAATTTTTGTAACTCAAAGAAAGGTTTAATGGGCCGCACTTTTGAAATTCCCAAAATACCAGGCAAAATACCTAGCATTTTCTTGAAATTACCTGTAGTTCTTTTCTTGTACAGGAATTTGCTTTGCAATTCGGGTATTTAATAGTGGGTAAGTATACTTTACCCGAAAATCAAGACGTGTATATGTATTGTACAAGGTAATATGTTAAAAGGTATCATTGATTTTTTTAAAAACTGTTTAGGCAGTATTGGCCACAAGGGCTGTAGTAAGATTTGTTCAAGTCTATTGAATGAAAACCGTACAACGTATAATTTCAAGTTGAAATGTTGAATGTTGAAAGAGGCACAACAAATATTTCAACTCAAGCTTCTGAATAGAAATTTGTAGTAGAAACCCTTAATCATGAAATTAAAATGATAACCGAAATCTTAAAACCATTGACAAATTTAACTTAAAATTAATGCACGCAATGTATATAGGTATATACCGATGATTATACAATATACATATAAAATTAAAGAGAAAGGGGCATATACATGGTCCTGCAACAGTGTGTCGGACTTTCCTAGCTCATACCTGGTAAAAAATATAAAAAAACTATAAGCAAGCCCCACTTTGATAAATCGTAGCGAACTTAATTTTAAAATCAAAGTGGGATATGAGCTACGGAAGACCGACGCACTGTTGCAGGACCCTGTATAATCTATCTATTTTATGCTAAGATAAAATTTCAAAACTGATGTTTTGGAACCATTGACGAATTTAAATTTACTTTGAAAGAAATTCCAAGCTTAAACCTTGAAAAATGCGAGGCGTTGAAAGGTGTACCGGAGTTTCGAATAAAAAAGCGCAACAACGAATAGAACCTCCGCGGAACTCTAGAAGTTTGTGTTTCCTTCTTAGGACCAAATTGTGTTCACAAGCATATTTCCCTACAGTTTATAGCTTCCTAACTCGACCTAGGGGGCTATATTGCGATCATCGTTTATCGGACAATTTAATCAAAAAATTTTTGCGCGTTTCAAATGCAAACCTATACAATTTTTATTAAGTTATTCGAAATGCCTTATTCTTCTGTGTACGACCTACACAAAATTGAGCCAGGTTTCATTACAAAAAATACAAAAAAGTCAAAGTTAAAAAACACACATGTTTTTTTCGGCAGTGATTTTTTTAAATGAGTTTTTAGCGTTTGTTTTTTTGAAATAGTACCACATATTTTTTATTAACGAGCGCAGGTTTCGAGTGGCTACCCATAATACGAGTGAGTACTCTAGACAATTAATGAATTATTAGTAATAAACCCAAGCAAAAGCAAAAAAAGCACGTGAAGTCGCGACAACGAGGGCCCCGACCCGAGATATTTACGAGGGAACGTATCATGAAAAAATTATCGTGTAAATAATTAGAATTATTAATTTAATAAAGGATAAATTTAGTTTTTATCCGAGTATATCAAAGACAGGGAATATATGAAACTTTTGAAGCATTTTTGCCTAGAAACGATGTCAGTTTCAGGGGTTGATTTTTTGGGGTTTAAGTACACCTGTATAGGTAAAAGAATTTCTTTTGCGAGTTACGATAAACTTTGCGACTACCAGTTTCTCAATCTTATAGTTGAATGTCACTTAATTAATTTATATGCAGGGTGTCCCATTTATCTTGAGACAGTCCATTATTGCGGAAACTAGCGAGGATATCAAAAACTGAATTATATAAAATATTCTTCACATGGACACATTGTCACATACCGGTCCCTTAAGGGTCAAGTATAACTAAATTTTCGAAAATAAAGCTATACTTTTCCTTGAATATTCTTATTTTATATCCGAAAATAATAAACTTTCATGGAAACCCTTTTTTCCCTACATTACCTTAGGGGAACTCGAAAGATTTATTTTTCGAATTTGGGATTAATTAGTACCTTCGTCCCACAAGCATTTTTTCTGGTGGTGATTGAGTATACCTACTAATATAAAAAAACATGATGCGATTTTTAGGGTTTCTAATAAAAAACCACAAGAATAATAGAACCCGATGGTAAATCGAATTATTTGTGTTTCGAATTAGGACCCAATTCAATTTGTTAGTAAAAATATGTTTTCCGTTAAAAATTGAATTTTCATGTAACTTGCAATTTTCAGGACACCAAAACAAAAAACCTCAGCCTCGAATTTATAAGTGATTTATATTAAAACATATTTTTTCTGTTGAAAATTGAAT